TGTTATATGCTCTGAAATGAAATATACGTATAAGCTTTGGTAATACCATGTTTGTTATGATCTTAGGACATCTTCTGCTCAGTAGAGGTGTTGTGGTCAAGTGGATAAGTTACCAGACTGTAGATCACAACGTACAGGGTTCAAATCACAGTCCGGCACTAACGTCTTCTGGCAAGTCCTTAATATACATTTGCCACTCTCCACCCAGTTGTTAAATGGGCACCCGCGTGGATGCGAAATTCATTGTAGTTTGCTTAGAATAGTGAGCGTCTGTAAAATGGGGCCTGGCTGGAATGCTCTCCAGGGAGTGGAAAGTGGTGGTGGTTATTTTACCTGACTGCTAAGAGAACAGTCAGGGTTAGCGGAAAAGCCTTAATGACCGTCGTTATAATATATCTGTAAAGAGCTTAGAGACATTGTCGATGTATATATATATATATATATAAACGCATAATAATATTAGTAGTATATTCTCTTTGTGTCAAAATATAGGTAATTTGATGGTATGTCTAGCAAAATACAGGTCTTGTTAACACTCAGAATGACTGTCAGAAGGCTCTCGAGGACATGTCATTCTTGTGAGCTATAACAATGTGCAAGATAGGCAACTCGTCAAAAACAAAACACAAATAAAGGCCTAGGAAACTGATAATTCCCTTTTTCTTGTAAATTAGAGAAAGTAAAAAAAAATAAGGATGAGCGGACAATATAACTTTTGCAAACTTTGTAAACTGTATTGTCGTACATTTATATTCGACTCTTGTGTCATGTCTTACAGGTGGGTTGTATGACCTTACTGAATCATACGATATCTCGTTTGGTGTCATATCGGGCTTAAACATCCTCAACGCTTTCCTGAGTATTGCTCCACTATGCTGGTCTCGATGCCGGAAACGATCTTCACTCGATGACGAAACGATAACAGATAGAGAAGGCGAGTCGGCTCTGTCGGCCTGAGTGTCTGCCCGTCGATCCCTCCTCTGTCAGTTATCCTGATACCAATCATATTAATGAAGCGGGACATTCAATATAAAGCATGAAAATTAAACAGCTATATGGGACATACCTACTGCTAAGTACACAACCCACCAAGCTCCTTTTGTACATGCGAGTTGCAGTTGGGTCGTAAGCCAACCCCTGCAATCCGCACGTCCTTCTTACGATCTCTAGTTGGCGCCTTTCACCCTCCTCAAAAATATATTTCCCACCTTTACCTGCATGACTCCTTGACTTGAACGTGCAACCCCTGTGCAGGTACCTTGCAACTGCAGTATTACGGCTCCATATAGGCCACCGCAAGTAGCCAGTGCAATGCTCGCAAGAAGTCCTTGCAAAGTCTACAAAGAAGAACAATATGGACTTTTAGATTCGCACGAAGACAATGGGGGTTGCTACGATCGACGTCCTTTTAATGCACTGCCTTGAATGGACGTTACACTTATCAGTCCAGGCAAATCTAAAAGTCCCTAATGACTGCATGTGTTACGTGCATAGCCACACGCAGATATTATTGGACATGTCGAAAAACATCGTGCAAGCGCTTACGTGTTATGCTTGCCTTCAAAGACACGTCCAGATCCCCGCGTGTCAGACGCGAGGATTTTCTACGAAATTCATCGTAAGCGAGAGACATGCATGGCCGGTTGTGACCATGGCTTTAGCTAGAATTCAAATGGTCTAACATTTCTCAAGATTTTAGTTTTAGATTTATTTTAGTCGTTTTATGTACACAGGGAAACTCTCTCCGAACTACAAAAAAACTGAGAGGCCCTGTTCAAATGAAAGATTACGCATAGGGAGCCTATAGGGAGAAAATCGAACAAAGTTTGCATACATTCAAAACATATGAAATGAAGGAATTCTTCCCGATGCCCAAGATGTAAATTGAACCCCGTTCGGTCTTTTTTGTTTAAAATTATCTTATTCTTAAGAGTCATTCAAAAGCGATGAAATGGAGGAGGTGAAGTTGTTTAATCTATGCGGTATGTCCAGTAAATGCGTTGAAAAGTATGTTCGATAAAATTTTGCCATTTAAGTCTATGTGGCCCTAGGTGTTGTAACGACTAGTTTTTTTTATCACAAACCAAATAATTAATGTCTATGCCTATATTACAGGAGATGTATGAACCCCATTGTTAGAATTTTTTTATATTTTTGGGGTTCCGTGTAAAAGTTCTGATACTCACGATATTCACGTAATTTATCAATGATTTGCAAATCCCTGATATTGATATTATGTTGATAAAAGTGAACATCCATATGACTAGAATGAGAAACCTGAGTGATTTGAAATTAATTTGAACGCACATATCGTCAATTCAATCAAATAAAGGCAATATGAATACCATTAAGTGATTAGGGAAATTCATATAACTAACTTTTTAGGATCTACTATCTACTTCCTTTATTTGATTTAGATTACCTAGAAATTAGGTAGGTCTATATTATGATTTTATTATAAAAATATTTTGTTTTGTTTTGCGTTCAACATATATTTTCCTTCCTGCAGCTATCAAATTATTTATGATTTATTTTCGTACATGTCAATTTTTAACATTATGGCGTATACAGAATTTATAGCTGTCTCTTGTGTTGCTAACATTTGCAGAGAGCCACAACATTTGTTCTCCTATATTTCGGAAGCTTTGAAAGGAAGTGATATTGAAACCCTGCAATCAATGCTAGTTTTCAATTATATCTCTAATTTTGTTGGGGGTGCGTAAATTTGAATAGGCAGGTTTTTTGCTTGGTATTAATCTTTCTTGAAAAGTCTGCATCTACATGATAAACCCACTCTATTTGATAATACATGTACCATTGAGATTTTCCAAAGCTCATCTATATTTAATTTCAGTGAATTGCCATTTCCTTTCCTTTCGTTTCTTTTCATTTTCTTTGCACTGGCAATATACACTCTACATACAAATTGACATCTTTTCCATTTAAGAATATCGAGCAGATAGTTTAATGGAAAAACACATTTCTCAATGCTAAATGAAAGTAAGTGCATTTAACCGAGGAATTCATATTTATAACCTATATTTAATATATATAAATAACAGTAGTCAATATTATTTGCACAAGAAAATAGATGAAATGTTTTGGTGATAGAATTTATTTATTCGTTGTACAAATTTCAAATAACTCACTTATAATTGGATGGGTGAATTTCATTATTTGTATTCATTATATGAATAGCGGTGGTTGATGAGTAACATAAGACAAATTGATTAAATGGTTTAACGACGAAAAAAATTATTATTTTGTAATACAATTTTTCAAATTATTTAAATATAATTTTTATGATTTCACGCAATCAATCGCGTGTCTTTTGCAATAGTTTAACAGATAACAGGTGTCATTGCTGCTACTTTGCGACAAGGATTATTTCCATCATTTTCACATCTTTTTGAATTATAATAATAATATATGCCTTCGTGACTAAAAATGTAAAGCTCTGGGAGCGTCGTAACAACAAGCAAATTGTATACGCATAAATACGCATAAATCTTTGGTTCTACCTGTTAAATAATCATTAGGTTTACTTACCAACGATTTCAAATAGATTTCATGTAATTCATGTTACATTTTCTTAAATGACGAATGACTACTCTTACGACATTTTCGTGAGAAGTGCTTCATACAAATTTAAACAGAAGTGTACTACTGATAACCAGAAGTATATCTAAATGATTAGCTTAAATCACGCCGTACGGTCAATATACTCAGAAAGTCTTGAAACCATAACCTACTGTATGCCAGATAATAGAAATAGAGTGAACGACTTTCTTAATGACAATTGATGCAGAACTATGTACAATGCACGAATGATACTTCTTTTTAATTATAGATATATACATAATTAGAGATATTAATTGCCCTTTTTGCTCATACTTGCGATGTTGGTTTTGTAAATAATATTTCGATGATATTTTATAATAATAATAATATATTACATTTATAAAGCGCTTAATACAATTTTTCTAAGCGAGTCTGGTATAAAGTACAGTGAAATGCAAGTTGATAAAGAATTCTGAATAAATTATTACTTGATTAAGTAAAGTCCTATAAACCATACATTTCTGGAAAGCTGAGACAATGGAGAATCTAATTCTTTTTGAGAAATTTATTTACCCTCATTGAATATGCAAATTATATGCAAATTTCTCAAAGGCATGAATTAGTGATTGTTCTGTGTGCTACTACTGTTATTGTATTTACAATATCAAAGCACTTTTATTTGATTTTGATAGAACTTGCTATGCACAAGAATCCTCTGACACCGTTTGTATGATTTTCATCATTTACATGAAATGCTAATATTTCAAAGAAAAAACAGAAATTAGAATGATTATTGGACGTAATTTTGCTTGTGAGGTATGTATGTGCAAAAACCATCATAGGATTGTTTTTTTTTGTATAAAAGCAAATGTAACGGCCAATTTTGAAGTAATTCTGATGAATATTTTTCAAGTTATAGCAATTTTTGTCAAAAATTTCTAATTCAGAGATAATTAGCATATTATGAAGGTACTTCAACCACAGTTTCCCCATAATTCGATTCAAAGTGGGATTAATTGACCTGCAATCGCAAGTTCAGTTGCACTCGAGTGCCTCCATGGAGGCAGCTTTCTTAGCAATGTACACAAATGCCCTGACCCTACTAGGCCAATAGATGGTAGCAAGTACACTGTCAGTTACATCATGAGGTGCAACATTTTTTTAAAAATAATTGTGGATCAAAGTTGTCCACTTCCGGTCTGATTATTGGCTTACCTGATATTTTCTTTGCCCTAAAATACAAAACAAATATTAAAAATATCATGAAAACAGCAATTGAATGTTGAAGAGCATAATATCAAAGTAACACTTAAATACTAAAAATAAAAAGTGAGATTTTTTTAACCAGACTGTTTGTTCCCTTAACAAAAATACAAAGTAATGTTAACCTACAAGTTACAACAATATTATACATGAATAACATGATACATAATTCTGATAACAAATTCCTAATAATTAATATTTACATAGCGCTTTATACATTGAAAAATGAAATATGATTACATTACATATTGAACAGATAAGTTTTAAGTTTACTCTTGAAGGTTTCTAACATTGGGGACTCGTGTATTTCATGGTGAAGTTTGGCACAAATAGAAAGGGCACGATTGCCATAGCGGGTGTGGGTGCGAGTGCCTGGGGCTATTGGTACCTTCCGGTTCACAAAAGCAGCTTTCATGAAATGATACAATAAAACGTTTACATTACTTATACAAAAAAATACAAACATTAATAATTAGCTTGAGCATATGCTTTGGTAGTATAATGAAGAAGTCAACAATGTTAGCTTACAGTAAACTTATCAAAAAGTGTTGGAGCACAATCCCATTTTTTATTATGGAAAGAGAGTTTACCTTTTCTCTTTGCAATTTGATAGTTTATCTTCTTCATCATGAATCCTCTTAAAACAAGCAACTCTTGGCTTAAATTTCTTGCCGACGCACGAGTAAATTCATCGTGATTAATCATTGTACTATGTGGATAGTTGGATTTAAATGTGTCTATTTACAGATTTTGAATGTGATGCGTACTATCTTCTAATCAATATCATTCCCTAAATTATTTGGTCGCTGTAATTTTATATATTTATAGCATATTTATGATTGTGAATCATTATAAAAGATGATACGAATCGCTTTCTTCCTTTAAGATAGATTATCTTATAATAACGGTTAAAACTAAAATTTAACCGAATCAAACTCATTTCCAACCAAATATTTGAGTCTGGAAGAAAATCTGCAACTGCTGAGTAATAAAACAAAACATACAAGGCTTTCCGTTATTGCCGGGAATTAGGTTGTCAACCTCTAACGTCATCATTGTTCTATAAAGTCTGCATTTCTCAGCAACTTTCTCTATTTCGTTTACATTGAATTTGTCCTGGCCTTAACTGTATCAGACTATCACGTATAGCACTTCACGATGTTCCAAACCAGTCTTGACATGAAACTTCACAGTGAGTATTTCAAATTGGCTTGAAAAATAACAGAATCTTTACGATGTCCTTCCATTATTGCAATCTGAACTTTCCCGGCTAACATGCATACATCGATATCTCCGGAAATCAGTGAAATTTAAAAGAAAAAGGCTTTGTAAATTATCTTGAAAGTCATTTATAAGGATGATTATTCTCGTTACTATTTATTTCAGTATTATCACAGATAATTATATCGGGACACACATACCTAATTCATAACAGGACAATCGAGTGTGGTTCTGTTCGGAACCGAAAGGCTGATAGATTTTACATCTCATAAGCGAGGGTCTAGATAACCGTCTTCATCATAGGTAAGACGTGGTCGAAACTGACCGCCTGACTGCCTCACTTGACTTGGTAACACGTTGCTTGGTACTGTTAGAATTGGTTGAGTGCTTGGAAGAATATAACCAAAGTCATCCTGTTCCACATCTTTTAAGTGGTCCTCATCTTCTGCATTTACATACGTGCTTTCAGGAAGATCTGAAAGAACAGTATTGGTGGCGCTCTCGTAGTGACCCTCCAGCTTGTCCGCTGGTACGGTGTCTGTGGCGCTTTCGTAATTCACATTAAGTTTGTTCGATGGAATGCTTTCATAGTATACCACAGTAGGTTTCAAATGCTTGGTGTCTTTATCTTCTTCATCTCGTGACTGAGTTCCTGGGAGGGGTCGGGAGAGAGTTTCATTCAGTGCTGTCCCCTGGTTTTGTGTGTCACCTCTTTGAAGAGATCTAGACATGTCGAGGTAGGTGTGAGTCACCTAAAACAGAGTGGAGGCGCAAGTTAAACCCATAATTATAACCTAAACAATAGTTGTTAATTCTGCGATATTCGTCCCTAAAGACACTTTAGGTGTCACCATTTCAATGTATACATTCAAGTCACCAATGGTCCGTTATTATCGTTTTTTCAATGTTTACATTTTTATCTGATATACCAATTTATTACATTGCTTTATCTTAATTATTGGATCGATAATCACCAACTACATGCTTATCTTGAAACAAAGATAAAACATATAAATAAATCAAATCAAATTTATAACCAAGCAATGTGTGGCTATAATGTCTAATGCGAATGTACAAGAAACCTAAATGAAAGTTACTGAGAGGATAATAATTCTCTGAAAACTCGGGTCAGGCGCAAATCAGTTATAAACATACCATTTTTTCTTTAAACAGGAAAGAATGTTCATATGTTACAGAGGAAATAACGGAAACTGCATTATCAATTTCCTTTAAAAAAAAATAATTTAGACTTAAAAAAGAGGGGTGGTGGTAGAGGAGGTATCGAATAAAAAAATAAATAATAAAAAGTTGGTCTTATTTACCAAGGGTAGCCAAAACAGCCTGCTTTTCTTGCGGACACTGCAATTACTATTACCCCCAACATTGCCAAGTATGCATTTTACACATGGCTGGAAAGGGACAAAATGTGGGCAAAACACCTCGTCCATGGATTAAGCACCGATGCAAGATCTAACCCAGTCAAGAGCCTTCACCAATATACCACAGTGATATACTACGACCGCGTGTGGGAGTGTCTTCATTACCTCTTTTTTAGCCACATGTTTAGTAGAAAGATGCCTTCGAATCCGAGACACTATCCAGCATGATGCTATGAAAAGGAGAAGAACAGCCAGTCCGCCAGTGGTGCCCATAAAGACCAGAGTTTGTGTGGTAGGTGGCACGCACTCCTTGCTATATGGAGGAACTTATAATGAACCGGGAGATATAAGAAAGAAAATGACTTTCCTTGAGTATATTCCGGAACATTGTTGAATTCAACTTGGCAATGCGAAAAAGTGGCGTATACATGATATAAGATTCAAATTTCAAAACTAAATGTTATAATTTATGGACGTTAACATCACTTTGATTAATTTTGTTTATTTGGTGTATGAACGAAATACTTTAGATTAAGGAATATAATTTTCGCCATTGTCATGATCGTGGGTCTAGGTGTTTTCAAGCAACTGTTTAAGGTTATAAATATTGTTGAAAGTGAAATATTCCTGACTGAAGCTCCGAATAATAAGTGTACAAGAAATCGAAATTATAGAGTATTTTAAGAGACAGAACCAGTTCAATATTGGGGTTCAGTCAGAACAGTCGCTAGATTGTCTCCTCACATCATGTAGCCGTAACTGTTTATGGAGAATTGTGATTCTCGTGTCTAACTTTTGTGAGTTTGGAGATGCCATCACAAGACATGGGGTATCTTGAATATATTCGTTATTGAAAACAAAATATACATTAGGTCAAACTATGTCGATGGTTTTCCACAGGAGTGGGTTTCCTGAATTTACCTTCATTAGAAAGGAAGTTCCTTACAATACAAGACGAACATTTAACACAATTTATTTACCTTTGGTGGGCGTGGATGCCATTCCCATATGTACTGATGACGTAATGTCGAAAACTGTGAAATAGATGGTGACAATGAGTTACGTCTTTCTTTTTCAACCCCCATCATTCGTTGCAAATATTTTTCTTCAGGCATACTTTCCTTGATGAGATATACAAAATTAACATCATCAAGCCATGCAAACATCCGAAAAACATCCGGAAATTGTGGGAAAAAAAAAATCGCGAAAAATGCCCCAATATGACCTCTAATAATGGATAGGGGTTTCGAGGCTTGAGCGGCACACCCCCGTCCAAACCAAATCTGAGTATCCCTCGGGAAGAACACAATTTGCAATTATTTATGGTTAGTCCATTCTAATCATTCCAATATATATTGAAGGGAAGAATATTATTAATAGAACGAAGAAAAAACAATGAGTGGACTCAAAACAGTCCGAATTGACTGAAGATCTAAGGGACTGACTGTGAAGTCGATCGACCTATTACATTGGATTCCCAATGTCAGTTCTACGAGACCCCAAAACCGTGAAAAACGAACAGCAGATTTTGGCCTCATCGGCCTTCGTTCCTGTGTGCCTCCTGTTCACTGGGAAGCATTTCCACTTTCAGAAGAGGATGACTTTCTTTGATGGTGTGCGAACGGCAGCAAGAACAAAACATAGTAATATTCAACATATTTATCGTTCCTAAATGGACACTGTTGATACTATAAGGCTATCCTCCCAATTAACTGCATGATTTACCTTACAAAATATACCCCTTTTTTAGAGGGGGCGGAGGAGAGGGGGAGGGGGGGGGGTGGAGTTCTTTTTAAGTTCTAACAAACGATTCTACAAGGAAGCTTTGTATTACAAGACGGCTTGGACTATCATAGCGGCTTACCATGCACTCCTTACACAAATAGTTTTATTATTCGTTCAAAACAACTACAAAGACCTAGAAAGTAAATAACATTCGAAACTATTTAATCACCTGGCATTAATAATTATATCTTTACGAAAGTGTATATTTTAGCGGTTTATTCTAAAAGGCAATAATCTTTTAACATTATTTATATTCTCATTGCATTGTAGTAAGGGGTGTTTTATATGACCCATCAGATTCACATTACGCTCAGTTATCCCGATAAATTATTATCAGCATGCATATTAATTAACCTACTAATCAGAAAGTGAAACTGAATGAATAATAGATGTTCAAGTTGTTTGTGAAAATTGCATGCATCATATTTGGTATCACATCCCATTGTGTGTAAGTATGGTATACTTTACTTCCATGTTTCTCAGTCCAATGTATTTTTACACCATAAAGTAAATTGTGGTGTAAAACAGACCTTCTTTCCCTACCAGTTAGGAATACAATATGTTTTCACACATGTTTCTAACAGAGATAATGATATACATTTTGAATGATTTCAAACTAACTAACACGTACTAGACAGAATCTTATCCTAAAATAGTGCCAAAAAAAGAGATAATAGAAATGATTTGTTGGGAGAAAAGGGGGAAAATCTTTCTTCGTCTTTTTCTTTTTGAAGTTAGTTGTATTTCTATAATAATAGGCAGGCTTCATTATGCGAAAAAAATCATACACTGTAATTTCCGATGAGATAGCATGAACTTTATGATATATCTAGAAAGGTTGTATACAATGATGATTACAATGTCTCTTCAATATAGTAATGTCCTTTCAGTCCATGAGGAAGGCATTTCATTTACGTTGTTTCTCTCCACCAAGAATAGATGTTAAGTGGATACTCGGTATAGGATGTAAATGCGATTGTGGTTGGTTTGGCATGATCTTGTCCGTAAAATGGCCGAAAATAATGCTCCCAAATGTAGTGGAGAGTGTGCATTGTTTTGAATCCATTCTTGAATCCACTGACGGGGTTGGGGGAACACTGTTTTAAAAGCGCTTTGATTATGGTGCTACATTAAAATAGTTATTACTGTTTTCTTCGTTAGTAGTTTACTGTAATATCCGAATGTTATCATTAATATCGTTATAATTATCATTATCATGAATATCTTTATCATTATCATTATTATCACTATCGTTATCATTATTATCACTATCGGTAACACTATCATCACTATCGGTATCACTATCATCACTATCATCACTATCACTATCATCACTGTCGGTAACACTATCATAATTAATCATCGTAGGTTCCATTTTTATTTTGCTTTACTATACCATCACTAGTAGTCATGTGATAAATCACTGCTCTTCATCAATCCACAATTATATTTTATTGACAGACTTGAGAGGATCTCGTATAATCAAAACAACGTGAATAAAAAACGAAGAGGTCTTCAGAATTATTTGGTTTTGAAATGCATATCCTTGCTTATTCACGATGTATAAAAAGGTTTTCTTTCTACTTAACATTTTTACAAAGACAGATAGATACTTGAGTATCCATCTCTTATTTTCACTTTCACTATAAGATTGAAGGGAGAAGGCTATACATAAAGCCCATGGTTGATAAACAGGAAATAAACGTAATGCGATGAAAGCTGTATGAATTTAGCGTCGGAGGTTTTATGCAATTCTTAAAATTCACTTTTATAAAATAAGTTAATTTGAACTTACCTAGCTGTGCAATGATTGATATTATTTTATACAAAGGTAATTCACAACATGTACTTAACAATTAAAAGTACAAGCTATGCTTATGTGCATGATTTCTTGATCACTATAACTATGAAAGAAAATATAAAAATGTTATGGTAAGAACTACCGGATGTTTGCAAGTAAATTCCTTCTCTAAAGTTTATGATAAATTACCATTAACTGTTAAATTATTTCGGTTTTAACTAGTTTACTGCCCTCTCATTTATTTTTGTTCAGTTTTCTATAATCATCCATACACGCACACACACACATCTGATGGATATTATTCTCATGATGCCTTCCGTTGTCCAAAAACAATAACAATATAAAGAGATCACAGGCAAAAATCAACTGAAGAATAAAGAATGTACTACTGTTTACAAAATATACTAAAGGTTGTAAGTTTTGCATCACGGCTGTGTCTTGAATGTACCTATTATGTTTATGCACTATTTACTCATACTTATGAGAAAAAAAATACTTCACATTGGAAAAAATATTCATATAGTCCTTTATAATTATGTTTTTAAAGTGTCAGAAATGAAAATAAATGAATGAAGTGAATGAATGAAATGAAAGTGGTTAGAATAAAAACACTGCTTATTTAATAGCTGATTGTGCTAGAAGAGGCGTCTTGAACGAAACGCCATTTTACAAACCCACATAGCCATAAACTAATGGTGTGACCCCCACTGCAGGAGGCCCACACGATTGACTTAATTTGATCTCACTACAGATTTAGAATATTACCTTTGAATTGGTCCGTGACGACAGTCAGTATGTCTGTCACTGTAATAATAAGAAGTAAATCAATGTAAATATTTTCACACTCCTTCGTCAAATCATGTATACCGCCCTTTTTTTTAAACTTAAAAGTAGTTGAATGCCCTCTCGTTGATTTTTATTATTTTTTATCTTATCTAGAATTACGCACTCACACACCCCAGGTGGATATTATTTTCATGATGCCTTCTGTAATTGTCCGAAAAAAGGGGAAAAAAGATCACAAACAAAAATAAACTGAAGAGTAAATAAAGTACTATTGTTTTTAAAACGTTTCGAAGTGTGTATTTTTGGAATCATGGCTGTGTCTTGAATGCACTTATTATGAAGATTTACTATTTACTCTAATATATGAAAAGAATGCTTCTCATAGGAAAACAAATATTAATATAATGCTTTATATTCATGTAACTTGGTAAAGTATCAAGAAAATGAAAATAAACAAATGAATTGAATGAATGGAATGACAGGAGTTTACAAGTAAACACTGCTTATGTGATACAGTAGTTGATTGTGCTAGAAGAGGCATGGTTAATAAATGCCATTTTAGTGTGTGGCCCCCACTGCAGTAGGCCCACATGATGAACTTATTTAGATTGTTAACATAAAATGGCTACACTATAGATTTAGAATTTTACCTTTGAATTGTTCCGTGACGACAGTCGGTTTGTCTGTCACTGTGATAATAAGAAGTGAATCAATGTAAATATACACACTCCTTCAAATCAAGTATACTGCCCTTCTGGACTTTTTTGATACACTGCATTAGATGGAATAACGTAAAGATTTAAGCGGGTAGGGGCACACCGGGTCCGTGCCCCTTTAGGAATTCAATGGTTATAAAATGTTTGACCCCTACCAAAAAAGTTAGAACCTTTTCTTTTGCTTGGTTGTCAGAATATTTTCTTTTCAGAATTGTAATCCCACACTTTTCTTTAGGATTCTAGATTGCACATGCATAGATAAGCAATATGTATTTTCTTCAACTGTACACAACATTTTGAAGATACGAGGACAAACGTCACTTTTCTGGACCTTCAAAAAGCAGTGAGTCGCAAAAAAGTGATAAAAAATGAAACTGATTGCTCTTTTAAGCCCGATGATATTGAACTAAAGGATGCTTTCGTCCATGGAATAGAATTTGATATTTTGCTTCATAACCATTACCATAATATGACCACTTTATATGAACAATGGGTGATTACACGAAACATAAAAAGGAATATTTTTATGATTATTATAAAGACTAGCCTAAGCCAAGTATCGCATATTAGATACGAATATATCATGTGTTGGTGTGCTCATCAAGCCGCTATTAGAGTCTTTCAATCATTTACCACCACTGACATTGACTACAGCACAGGAAATGTACTTTTCTTCTTGTAAAACTTAGAATATGCTAAATTTTATTACGAAGCACGATTTAATTGTTTGTATTACCTGTAACCTCTTCACATGTTGGTATAGAATCGTTCCAAAGCAGATAAAACTGTGATCCTCCTGGAACACATTGCAGCGTTCCATTGCCTTTCAGACTGTATCCATCCATACACGTAAGATGAACGATAGAACCAAACCACGTGATCTTAGAATCTCAGGAATCATTGTGATGTCATCTGTTTGATGGCAGACTTTCAACAGTGACAAAGAAAACGAGAGAAGGAAATACAGAAAATCAAAGATTAGATCTCACAAATTGTAACACTTTTTATCGCATTAAAAATATTTCGTATTTTCTGGGCACATTTTAAAGATCAGTACATAAAAAGTAATTTTAATTTGAGTTTGCATGTATTATCGTTTCTACTTCACAAATTTCTTAATCAACTCAGTAACCAAATTTTGAGAATAAAGCTTTTTTGTTCGATCGTCATGTGCATAGAGAAAGAGTTTCGTGCCACATGGGTCTGGGCCCCTAACGAGATAATACAAATAAATTAATGCTTCAAACAAGAAGAAGAAGAAATAAACGCAACCAAACCAGACAAACAAACATTCTTGAAAAGTGATGATGACTCGGATGTACGCCACTTCTTATTAGATTGCACAAAATAATTATGAGGAACTTTACAAACCACACTGACGTATAAATAACTGACCAAATGACAGCTAAAAACAAATTTAAAGATGAATCTAACTTTAAAGATAAATCTAATAAATTGCTAAACAAATTATATACACGTACATAATAGAGAATCGTGCGAAAAGATAAATTCTTCATTTTAAAAATCCCATTTATTCTTAAATATTAAAAAAAAAAAAATGTATAATTTACTATATCACTATTCCCTAGAGGATTATTAACTATCTTTAAAAATATTGATCCGTTACTAATTCCCTTGAGCACGTTACGAAGACCAATTGTGACGTTGGACTCCTTTCAACTGGCAACTGGCACTCATTACGACACTTAGTCGAGGTGCCAATTTTAAACAAGAACGAAACCAACGATGAAAGTAAGACGATGGATGTCTCCCATAAAAGCCTCTAAAATGTGTAATACAAACCTATACATCACCATGATCACCATTAACATGACAGCTATCCCGGTGAATGGGGGCGTTCCCTGAAAACTTAATAATAACCCGGAAACAAAGTCAAGAATGATTTTGAGGGGCGATTCAGGTCCAAAACCCCTTTTTTTATAGGAGGAGAAAAATCAGACAAACTGATTGAAAAAAGGTGGACAATCTGGCGCATAATTATACGGTCTGATTCCTCGCTCATAGAGTCCCCTGATCGTGACAAGAAATCAATGTGAAACTTTGCTAGAAAGTAGAAAATGTCGGGAAAGTGGCAACATTTCAAATTTAGTTCGCTTATTATGTCATTGTCATGTAGTTGATGTGATAATGATGAGAATGAGCAATAGCTCCACCTCATCTAAAAGAGGTCATCATCGTTAGTCTTTACATTTTGCTATTGATTATCTATAGATGAGTCCAATCGTTTTAGTGCCCAAAGAGGTAATTTGAATTTTTAACTATATTCAATTTTGTTCCACATTTTCATTTTAGAACACCCATTCAGATTCATACAAACTGAAGAGTAACAAAACAATACGGGTAAAAAAACACGAATGAAGTATAAAATGTAAAGTTAATAAGTTAATTTGAGACAAATGTAGATTCAACCGGCAACAAATACATTAATACAATGTAAAATGTGAGGAGCCTATAAATAAAAAGCAAAGCTTGTGCAAATGCTCCCCAAACCAAAAACCTTACAAAAAACTTTTGATATGAGATGAAACATAACATCTAAGGAATGTAGGAAAAGGTTGCGACCGGAGATATTTTTTATTTAGTCAATATCGTGCTAGATATTGAAATATCATATAGGTCAAGCCTTGATGTACAGATACAGTGAGAGGGTCGTCGATTATTTTCAAGATGCTTCGCATCATGATACATAGCTAACTATTATCACCTCGAAATCATTGGGGGTGGGCAACCCTGCTACACACCCACCACCTATATATAGAAACGACGCCCTTATTCAATTCAAGGTTTATTTCGAAAAAAAATTGAATATAGTGACGCACATGTTGTAGCTAAAAAACTGAAATGTGTGTTTACAACTATCGAGGATACATATAAATAGAAAAGAATATCTATTCACGAAAACATATCTACAAGTCTACCATTAAGAGAGATTTTTGTAGACACTCCTTGCTCTCATATAGACTGCCATCACACAGCGGTTTCTTCAGGTAGAGGCTTGCTCTCTGCTCTCCTGATCTTCTTTTCACTTCTCTACAGAGAACTAAGTCAGACAATATTCCCTAAATAAGTGAAAACCCAATGGTCATTCCTTTCATCACAATATCCTTGGAAAAGAAAGAAATGTAAATCTAAAAAAAAATGATAATACACAAGGCATTTCTATTCGTTAAAAAGAAAATATTATACCCATGTAAAATATGCTCTTGAACCTTTATAAACGACACCAAAGACATTTTCTAGTTTTTGTGAAATAGGCAAATTGTTATCAAATAATATAAACAATATCATGTCAATAAGAGATTTGAAGAAGATCTATCAGAGCACTTTGGGCCCTCGATTCAATCTAATTTTTTCAAGAGGGGCAGAGTATAAACACAACTGCGATTTGGATGAAGAATAAAGTTGAATAAAAGTCGGCTAATGTGAGACAGGTCAAAATTGCACTGTTTTGTGACGAAAATACCATTTCAATATCTTTATCTATTTCTATCAATAAATTTCTAAATAATATCTCCACAGGAAGTGAACATGGAGAAACAAAGAAGTTAATATGTTTATCAACTTCGTACTTCTAAAGAAGAATATGATTCACACATATCTGTTTAATCATCAATATGTTGATTTCTTTAGTGAGTTAAGTACTTTTTTTTTCTTCATATTTTTCCCTCCACAGGGATTTTATTGATTTTCATTTGAAACACATACAAAAATATATATTCAAGGTAATTTACATAACATAAATAAAATAAAATTGCCTTTTCCAGATACAAGTATTGTTGAGCTGTTGAGTTAACAGAAAACGAACAAATAAATAATTCGTTTCTAACACTCATGGAAAGAAAAACAAATACAGAAAAAATATCATTTTAAGTAAACAAATTCCTGAATTGAAACCATTTTCTTGTGAATTTATTATTTCTACAATTCGAATTTGCAATATACATTTCGTTTATGAAGTAATTTATAATCGAAACTCTAATACTATCAAAGTCGGGCAATTGTTTCTTTATTTTGGAAGTATCAGTGGCGTAGACAGGTTCGTACACCTGGGGGGGATGACTCGGGGCGGATCTAGCTTTTTGCTAAGGGGGGGTTGACCAATAATGACGATGCGGAGCATCGTCCACGAGCCGCGAAGCGGCGAGCCGATTTTTTTGGGGGTGTTTATTTGAACCCCGTAAGTGATGTTTTCCTGGCATCTATTAACACAATGGAGACCATAAAAAGCAGTGCATGATAACGTCTTTTTAAATCAAGTAACAATTAAATACACAGTTATATCCAGAGTTATCATGTGTTTGGTTAAGTTACCAGATGAGTTGAATATCTTCTCACAATATTTGCACTTGAAAGGGTTTCTCTCCAGCGTGCGTTCTTTTTTCTTTCTTTTTTTTCTTTTTTCTTTCTTTTTTCCCCCTTTTTTTTGTTTGTTTTTTGGGCCGCCAAAGGGGGGGTTTAAACCCCCTAACCCCCCCCCGTAGATCCGCGCCTTAATCTTGTGGTTATCTTGTGGTTTCCAAACCACAAGATAACCACAAAATACTTGTAAGATTTTCTTCTTTTTTTACCGTCTGAATTGGCTTTCACCGTGTGAATGCGGCCAATAACAATAAACACAATTACAATAATGATGAGGATTATTATTATCATCATCATAATTATTATTATTATTAATATTAAAATTGTTATCATTATTATTATTACTATTATTATCATCATTATGACTTATTAAGTAAGCAAATATCATTCCCCAAAACCTGGGGGGGATGATTGTACATGCCATCCCCCCCACCTTGTGTGGTGGGGGGGATGCATCCCCCTCATCCCCCCCGTTGTCTACGCCCCTGGGAAGTATACACCATCTGTCGCACCACAATCAGTATACAATTCAATGCATAATTATTTGAACCTTTTAAACCTAATAATTTATCTTGTAATGAAAATGTTAATTTATTTCCGGTTCCAGTATTAATCCAGTGTTCTAACCTACCCCAAATATTTTTAACATGCGTACAATCACATAGCAGATGTATAACTGTTTCAATCTGTTCATTAAAAAATGTACATTCTTTTCTTGGGACTAAATTCATTTTAAACAGTAGATCGTTCGTATATGATATGCGTTGCAAGACTTTAAACTGAAACCATCGTAAGCCCACATCAATGGTACATTTAAATCCAATAGAACAATATGTTTCCGAATTCTTATCATTCAGGTCGAAAATGCATTTCCATTTAAGAAAACTTTTACATAGTCCTTTTCTTCTCTTTAATAATATTGCATAGATATGTGAACATCCTTTAATACGTTTCATAACAAATGCCATTGTATCTGGGAAAAGAGGTTGTGGCACCTTGTTAAAAATAGTACAATTGTTAAACCCTTGTCTAATTGCATCGCATAATCCACGATAAAAAAGAAAATTTATTTGAATATTATAGTTTTCTTGAAAGTGTTCCAGAGAGAAAAAAAAATCACCATTTGTGTCTAAAATATCGTTAACAAAACGAACTCCCTTTTGACACAATTTTTTTATTATATATTGAGCTATTGCCTATTTTAATGTAATCATTATTCCATAAGGGTTGGCAAGAAAATGTTATCATGATGCATGGACAAGAGCGTACTATAAGCCATGAACATTTCTTTCCAAAAAAGGTTCTTTGTTTTACCTGCCAGTTCCCGAAAATAATTGTTTCCCATATATAATTTTAAATCTTGCCGTTCAGGCAAGAAAGATTGCAAAAGACAGAGGATATTGCTATCTATTGAGCCAATTACTAATCTCTTAATCCAGGAAATTTGTAATGATTGGCAATGTGTGTATATATCTATAATTTTAACCCCTCCGTCTGAGTAACTTTGTGACATTTGATTTCTACTTATTTTACCAGGTTTCTCCCCCCATATAAATCTATAAAAGTGAGCATTTATATCTTTCAAAAGATTTTCACCAGGATTAGGGAGGGACAAAAAAAAGGTAGTTTAATTTGGATACCAAATTAAAGTACTTGATTCTGATTTAGTAATAGTAATTTGAGATACTTTGAATGTTATTATGTTATATGTTATACTACTTGCAATCTTTAGGAGTTAGAGTTATATAATGTGTTGAGGTTAACTCTGGATAATTATTTGGCAAAACAGTTGTAAATAATATTTTGACAGTAAATAGTATGCGATTGTCATTGAATCATCTTCAGTTTTGTGTTTTAGAGTAAAATTCACACTTTTACCAACTATCATTCCGTTTATCATAGGTGTTGATTAAACGTGTATAGGAAGGACGGTACCAAAAAAGGATTGCCAGGGTGAGTGGTTATCATATAAACCACTAATCCAATCAGGCGCGTACGTAGGGGGGGGGGTGGGGGGGGGGGGGGGGGTTTGGGGGGTTAACCCCCCCCCTTTGGTTTTTGTACGTGCGTATTTTTGAGCAACCCCCCTCTGTTTTTGTTTTGTTTTGTTTTGTAATTAAAAAAAAAAAATTATGCCAATGCTTGACCTAAAAACCTGACCTTACCCCCCCCCCCTACGGAACAAAATGTCAAATTGTCAAATTTCGAGACCAAAAAAAAAAGAAGAGTGCCCTCTTACCCGATTTTTTGGGGGATCAAAACAACAAAAAGTGTCCTCTTACCGCCCCCCCCCCGCTTATTTAGCGGCTGGCTGAGTCGTTGCGAAATTTTCGGCCCGATTTCAAAATGTTAACCCCCCCCCCTTGAAAAAATCCTGCGTACGCCACTGAATTCAATGTAGTTTTAATTGGAAATTATGCTTGATTGTTCCATAAAGTTCATTTGATAGTTGTATTCATTTATTTGTTGGGAGAGTAATATAACGATGGAAAAACTATAGTTGTGATTAGATACTAGTTATTTTCATGCAATATTGATCATGAATGGAATAACAACCTGTATATCATTTGTTATTATGAGTCGGCTTGACCGTTGTTGGAATTCGTATCTTGGAGTCAATTACACGAATATGTTTATTGTCATGTGTGTTTTTAAAATGTGTCCTCATTTCTAATTAATCTTTTAAAAATGTTATTAACATCGAACCACAACACAATGATGGGGCGTGTCGTGTGTACCAGTTTCTGCGTGTTACAAGTATAGATAACGCCTTATCAGATAATCAGGGTTGGGCCTAGCTTTATGGTCTCAGGGGGCAAATAGCGGATCGTAACATGGCCGGAACCCCCCCCCCCCCCTCCACCCACCCCCACCCCAAAAAAAAACATACACAAAAAAAAAAAAAAAAAAATTAAAAAAAAATAATCGCAAAACAAAACGAAACACACAACAACAACAATAAACCAAATACATTATCGTACACCGCGTTTTTAAGACTAATTTGACGTTATTTTTGTTTTGTAATGACTGTTCCATTTCCGGTCTTGGGCCTGTAATAATGGAATGGAACAACAAACTCAGCTCAGCCTGATGATAAATTTGATACTAAAATTTGATGAAGGCTAAGTTTAGTGGTTTCCAAAACATGCCCAAGGCCTGATTACCAATGAATGGAGCGTTAGAATGTTTTGAAGACTTTATATGTCATTTTGAGGCTCTTAAAAAAAAGTCTTTGCACATGCAGGATTTAACTGGAATAAAGACTAGTATCATTCTAAAATTTTGAACTTGCGTAATGTCAATTTGATATCGATAGCATACAGCTGTCTCGAAACGATATATCGGACTCCGAGAATCGTACGGTGCTCGCCTCATAGCTACATGAGATCACCTGATTTTATATTGACGGGATTTCCCTGTTCACGACGTCACCCCATCCTCTAAATAAACACTTGATTACAGAAAATACTGGAACTTGAGATGAAATATTTATAGCTTAAATCAAAAACAATATTATATTTAAGTTGATGAAACCATCATCATCTGTTGGAATTATTACATGTTCTTGAATGAATGCATTAAATTAACACTGACGATGCAGGCTGATAAATAGTTTGAGGTCGTTAGTTACGCTCGCTAGGGCAAAGGTTAACGGCACGAGTATCGGACTTGCGCATGTACGATATTTATGACACGTTGAAGTTACACTGTTGTCAGCTGCTCTTCCCGTGCCGTGCCGCATCTTGTACCAGCTTCATTTTGGAACTTAAAGTGAGTAATTTACCTGGTTTAAATCCGTATTCGCTTTTATTATGATGTAATGTAACCATTAAATGACTGGCCATAATGACAACTTATTTTATATGGTTGATTTTTACGAAACAATGTAATTTTGTAAACTTTATTTCGGCGTGAATGACCTTCTCATTCCAGCGGGGACGTTGCCCCTGGGCGCCAGGCACGTAGACTGCGGTGCAGGTAGTGCTCGAGCGCGAGCACTGATCAGTGTGTGTTCTGCAATTCTCTTGAGTGTTGTTGGTGTGAACAGGTGAAATGGGCGGAGGATGTCGTAAGTTTGGAGATGTCTTCGAGAGTCAGAGTGAGACTGAGTCTGATCTTCCTAAACTAGCTAGACATAGATCTTCTAGATTCTAGTCTAGACTCTAGATCTAAATCTCTCATGATAATGATATTTGGCAAGATGAGGAAATGAGACATAGATCTAGATCTAGTCTAGCCTCAGACTATGTCGCAATTTCTACCTCATTTTATATAAAAGTAATTTTATGAAGACTGCAATTATTTGAATGAATAAGGAAATAAAATATTGAAAATAGAAATACATAATAAATAATAGTAGGGTGTCTGAACGATTTTTCAATTTTCAATTTGGGATCGTTTTTCACCATTTTTGTTTGATATTTGAATTAAAAATGTAATCATAATAATACATTTCAAATTTCAAGTCTCGCCGATGTTTCTATCAAAAGATACAGCCCCTTCAAAACGCTGAAATATTCATAGCATTTTGCTCAGAATCGACGAAAAAGACGTACACGCAGAGTAATGTTGTTTTGCTAAATTTAGCCAAACAGCTGTATCGCGCGATATGCAAGCGTATGCATATCGTACGCAAGTTGCTCAGCCAATGCGCGACTTGCAAGCTTGAGCCACGCTGTCTCCGCGATATGTGCCATTGACTAGTATGGGTTACCGTTCCCGCCATAGAACCCGGAAGTGAATACACGTTGTAGTCAATGGCAATATCGCGGAGACAACTCTCCGCGATATTGCCATTGACTACAACATGTATTCACTTCCGGGTTCTATGGCGGGAACGGCCACCCATACTTTCATTCACTATAAGCGCACATGTTACGCGATGTAACCATGGTTTGGACTGAGCGGAGCTCACGCCTCCCTAATTAGCTGATTCCAAAAATGTGGGAAGGGTATTTTCAAACTGTTATAACAAATGATCCCTTGTGGCTAGCAAAAAAAAAAGCATCTGGATATTATCCTTACGTCTAGCCCTGCTTAAGCCGCGGGGCGGCAGCTCAGGAAAGTGGCAAATTTTGGAGCTAGGATGCAAACAACATTTCAATCGCTGTTTTGACCAAGATATTTTTAGAAATCTGGGGGTGGCCCCCGATGGGGAATATGGAGAAAAACCTGCTCTTTCATATGACACCTCATTTATTGAGTTTCACCTTCAGGATCATTTGTTATAAAGGTTTGAATTTCAAATTTTTTCATAAAATCATTGACCAATTTTGGATGGTCGCGCAATGCACGTAGACCACATAGGGAAGCGTACAATCTCTATGGGAAGGGTTTTAGCACACAACATTGGGTGCGCGATCAGACACCCTAATAATAGCTTGGGACAAGAGATAGTCTAGACCTATAAAAACAAAATCAGAAATTACATAGATTAAAACTTGTTAAATAAAAGTGTGAGTGTTTCAAACTTTCAATTCATGAACGGTGAATCAGTATTTGAGATGGCTACTCCTGGAGATATTGATTTGATAGTTTATAAAAATGCACCCTTATATTTTTCTTATTAAACTAAAAATACAAATACTTGCTAAGAAAGTTGTGTCCAATGTTTTAGGCTTTGAAAACAAGTTAAACAACATAGGCTAGACCTATTCAAATAACAAAATTTAAGCTTATCTAAATGTTAATAATACATGTTTAAAACTATTCAGTTTACACATGTGGAGAAAATATCTTGAAATTTAAATTTAAATGTACATGTAGATCTGAAAACTAGAGAATGTACTTCTGACTTTTGTGTTCTGTATCTGTATCTGTATCTGTCCTTGACGTACAATCACCAGCATTTGGTTATCGCGACTTTGGCTTGCCTGCCATTGAAGACTACCCAGCTCTTCAGGGATTTTACTGTTTTACCAAAATGTTTTGATATTTTCTTTTCATACAAATATTGATTTTTGAGTTCACTTATAAACTATTCACAGTGTAATTTCTCATTTAATAGATTTGATATGTATTTAGGGAATTTAATCACCTAAATAAAAGAAATAGATTTCTTTCCTACCTTGTCTTGTAGAAACACCTGTTGAGTACAGACACTTGGAACATATATTATATCACAAGTAGTAGTTCAAATATTGCACAGCACCCGAAGAAAGAATATGTAAGACCATGTACAAAGTAATGACGCTTCTTTGCGAATTAAGTAAGGAAGAAGAAACTTATAATCTCTATAAAGTAATAAGGCCTCGGAACCGAGTAGAGAAACAAGCGAAGAAATAGGACAAGAATTAAGATGAAGCTGAATTAGCTTTGCTGTAGATCGATTCAAGACTCTCTAGAATACGTGTGCTCTAGATATGAACAGCTCAGGAGAAGTGATGAAAATAGGTGTGTCAAATAAAGCAAACAAGTGTAATGTGCCTGTACAGTACATGTATAAGCTATACCAGTACATTAGGTGGTTGCACATCCCAACCCATAGGGTGTGGAATGTGCTTGCCAGAATAAGTATGTGTGGCACTCTAGTAATGTAACAGGTGTCACTAAAGAAATGAGTGACAATGGAATAAAAGGCTAGACTTCAAGCCACACAATATAGACAAGACAATAATATATACAAATGCAAAGTTCTCCAAAGGTCAAGTCACTACATGTAGGACAAATCTAGGCTTAGGCCTACTAACAGCTATGAATTAAAGATAAACTCCAGTACTGGTAAAAAAAAAAAATTAATTCTCACAGAATCAAACGAAACTTACACTGAATGTTCAAGATTACAAATAAATGACATGTGCCAAACAATTTTAGAAGAAAATGTATACTGGCTGAGTAATGAGCATAGAAAGACAAGGAAACCAAGGTAGTACCATCCCCGACACCATGTATGTTGTCCCATATATAGCTTTCTATGTGAGTGTTTGTTACTTTACCAAGACTCGGTCAAATTTATTATGATTTTGATGACTCCAGAACCTTGCAGTGCACACCAATACTTACATGCTACATGATCAACTGTTTCTGATCCTTTCACACCTTTTCTTTCACAATGCAATCGCATTACCAGTACTAAAGTTTAGCTTTAATTAGTTTTCAAACTGATACAACTTTTCATGATTTAATGAACTTGATACATGTAGTTGCCTTGATCAATATGTTCTTGTTTACATTGTAATGTTTTTTTGCAGGGTGTCAGTCTTTCCAGGGATTAATATTAAAGTTAATTTTTTTGTAATCCCATCACATTTTATATTTATAACAGTCAATACATCATTAGTGTCCCCTATATCCCACTTCCTTTTTTGCAGGCCTATCTAACATTGACTAATTTTGGTTTTGTACATTACCATGATCTTTATTTTTAAGTTTATTTGCATGATTTTCATGATAATGTGAAAATAGATATGTAAAATCCGTTTAGGGTAGATAGGAAAGCCTAATATAGAGAAACATTACATGTTCCCCTATACAATACATGTTCCCATAAAATGTTCATAAATATTAAAGTGCCATACCAAGACGTGTGTCTGCATCAAAATAAGTCTTTCCTTTGCATTTTATTTAATGGATTCAACGAAAGATAGGCATCAGGTGAAGATCTGAAAGGCAGTGGTGAAGCCAGTGGCTCTTCAGACTAATGCATGCCAAGTAAGGCTTGGTGATATCAATATCATATTTCATAAATCACAGAGCCTGTAAGGTTAGCTTGCACAGTGTATTTAAGTGTTTTACTTCTTTGTACCGCAGTGTAAAGATGGGTCTGGGAGCAAACCAGCATGGAGAGGTACAGGGTGCCGTACACAAACCTCGAAGGTTTGTGGGTGATGTGACCTGGGATGAAGTAAAGAAGCATGATGGGAAGACGATGAAGGAGAAGTGGCTGGTGGTTGATGACCAGGTGTACGACATCACACAATGGAGCAAAAGACATCCAGGAGGATATAAAGTCATCACTCACTATGCTGGGCAAGACGGAACTGTAAGGGTCTTGAATTATTATGAGAAAGACAGTTTAAAGATATAATCAGGACATGTAGGGAGTAATCGGCATTTAATATACACAGCAACACTAAATTATACTTTTTGAATCCTGAAATACAATAGCAATAATCTTCTTGTTCGTACATGTACTAGTTTCTGTCATCAATTGCTGAACAGTCACTTTCCTACACTTGATGAATTCTTAACTTCAACCATAGACCAAATACACCTGGTTATGTTCTGAGCATGTATGTGATAATGATATACTGTAAGGAGTCCAGTCCATGAATCCAGAACCAGAGGCCACAGTATGAAAGTAAGGAAGCCAAAGTGTAAATCTGTGCTTCGTCAAAATTCCTTCTCTGTGCGAAGTTGCAACAACTGGAATTCCTTACCAGACTCGGCAGTCAGAGCAACAACTGTAAATCAGTTCAAATCTATCCTTGGGAAATATTGGTACAGCCACCCCCTTAAGTACACCCCAGTCGTAAAAAAATAGGAAAAAAATAGGGGAAAAATAAGGAAAAAATAGTCCCGAAAATATATTTTTTTTCTATTTTTTCCCTATTTTTTTTAAAGGAAAAAATAGGGAAAAAATAGTTTTGGAAATAGGAAAAAAATAGGTTTGAAACAATTTTTTCTATTTTTTTCCTATTTTTTTCCTATTTTTCAGACCTAAAAATAGGAAAAAAATAGGGAAAAAATAGTGTAGAAAATGGTGAAGAAAATAGTAAAAAAATAGTGATAACTAGGTGCTAGTGGACAGTGAAAAATAGTGAGGAAATAGGAAAAAAAATAGTGAGGAAATAGGAAAAAAATAGTAAGAAAATAGGAAAAAAATAGTAAGAAAATAGGGGAAAATAGTAAGAAAATAGTAAGGAAATAGGAAAAAAATACTAAGAAAATAGGAAAAAAATAGTAAGAAAATATTAAAAAAATAGTAATAAAATAGGGGAAAATAGTAAGAAAATAGGAAAAAAATAGTAAGGAAATAGGAAGAAAATAGGAAAAAAATAGTAAGAAAATAGGGAAAAATAGTAAGAAAATAGGAAAAAAATAGTAAGGAAATAGGAAAAAAATAGAAAATAAGTGAGGAAATCAGTAAAAAATAGTCAGGAAATAGGGGGGGGGGGGGTCACTCATCCTTTACTTTCATGGATTTCTCAAGCACTACCATCTCACACATCCAGTCAACGACTCTGTACATTCAATTAAATCATACAGTGCAAACTTGATATAAAGAGATCAGTTATACCTGAAATGACAAGGTAATTTAACAGCTTTTGGGGGTTAAGATTTCTTGGTTGCACATGACCTCATTGTCAAAAGTTTCCACTGTAGAATAGTCACCCTACTCCTACAGCTCTTTTCTCTGCATCGATGCACCTACTCAGTTTGCCAAATTCACTTCATCCTTTCAGTCCAATCCATTCAGTAGAACATTTAAAATAGTCAATGGGTATATGGAAAAATGTTATACAGTCCACTCCTATTATAACGAACATGGATCACCAAGATTTTATTATCAGGCAATTCTCATCAGTCCCAATTTTAAACAAACCAATGTGTTCAGTAACTTGAGTATAACATGATTTCATTTTAACAAGGAAATTGGCTTGGTCCCGAGCACCTCGTTATAATGGCAGTGGACTGTAACAAAAAAAAAGAATAAAAGGGAATGTGTCATATAAAATACATGTACTTTATTTTCGAGAGGTAAACACAATGACATGAGTTTAGTATAGTATGTGTGTTCATATAAGCAAATAAATAAAAGAACTTAACTGATATTTACAATCTTTGGTTAAGTACTGTAGTGTACATGTTGTAGTAATAGAGTTGTTCTTGGTTTGCTATGATTATACTCTAAAAAAACAAAAACAAGACAAATGCGACTGCGTCTCCTATATGCCTCCGCCTTAAAAAAATATCATCCACCTAGAATGTAGCTTTCTATTTTTGTTCAAATAAAGTATTCAGGTGAGTTTCAGGACTATTACTGAGCCGATGTGGATATGCCAGGCGATCACAAGCTCTCTCCCTCACTAGTAACCAAATAAAGCAGTATTCTTGACATGAGAGTGTTGTTTTCTGTCTCTTTTATTACAATTTAATTGCAAAGTGCTCTTAATAATGTAATAACATTTTCAAACCTCAAGAAAATCATGACAAGTAAAAAAAAAATTCTCGTTATTTACAAAGATAACAAAATAAAATAAATCATAAAACAGATTTTTCAACAATGCATGCATGCTCTATTGTACAGTTGACATGTTACATAATTTTCTCAATCTCAATTGAACTGTCAAAATCTTAATACAATCATCATAATCTAGAAACACTTACTACAAAATCAATGACATGTCATGTCATTGAGATATATATAAACAAGAAAATGACAGACTTACATGCTACTATTTTCAAATAGTTTTACAAAGTATACCATCATTACCATGTATCATAAGTAATGGTCTTACTGTATGGTCCTTTATCTTCACAATATGCAGGCACTCATTGTGTACACATACATGTTGTACTTGCCTATGAATCTCAATGATTAGACATAAGAATTACATAATAAAATGGAAACAAATACTAATGTAAAGGATACAGATGTTGGTCATGCTGTTCACAGGCATCGAATGGTGGTTGTACGTTACATGTACATTGTAGCTTGATTAGTTTCAATTGATCTGTAAAGATATAAATGAAATGTGAGTTAGGGGTTAGAATAATCATGCATTGGTACATTTATGAACATGCAATTAATACTTAGTACAAGTATTTATGTATTTCATAATGAAAAATTCAAAGGCACAGAACATGTGTGTACAAAAGTATGATAGCAAAAAAGATGCCAGGCTGACGACGAACGGATGGTGAAACAACAGAGTCATCAAAGAGCTGTCAAGGTGCATAAAATGTAAACCACTCAGGTAGGCAATTAATTAGAGTTATTTTATTCTTAGATATATTGGGTGAACATACATAAAATAAAACATAAAATACAGAAAAGAAAATAGTAAAGGAACAATTTGTTGAAGAAAAAAATAAAAAGGAAAGAGAAAAATAATGTAGATCTAGGTAGAACTTGTGCCACTTGCAAATTATTGTTCTAGCATAATGATGAGGTAAACTACTCTAATATTTTGATGTCAGATCTTAACTAACAAACATGAAATAAATAAACCCAAAAAAATTATCAACAATAGATTTAGATTTCTACTTAGTAAGGACATACCTCGCAGACACACTCTCGGACTTGGAAGACTTGCTCTTCTTCTTGCGTTGTGTTTTCTGATTCCTAGAAAAATAATTTGAGATACAATTTAGCCTAAAACCACATCAAAACATTATATCATGCAAGGCAAAATAATTGACAGACGTAGTAATGGTACAAAATCTGAATTTTTTTACGTGGATTTATTGTAATCACGTTTGTTTACATTCACTCATTCACTAACAGACACTACACTGCACTTGGAGATTCACTACACTTCACTAAGAAGTTGTGTAGTCTACAACCTCAACACTAGCTACATGGGAATATTGATACGTAAAATAACATTCTATAGGCCTACTATGTCTATGAAGTAGCATTATATTCAACAACAGACACAATAAAAATATATATATCATAATATAATTAAGTTTCAGAAATAAACGTACCTTTTCAGCTGTTTTCTGGGGCCAGTTCCGCTCGTCGATGGTCCGTAATTCGACAACAAACTCGTTTCTCTACGAGTGGGACTAGTAGTAATATTTTGAACATTAGTCGGGCTCATTTTCTTGGGAAGAATCACTAAAATGGGATAAGGAGGCATCGGAGTATGAGGAGTCACTATCTCTTGATGAAATTTCATCGCTAGAATAATTGCTGGAAGACATTTTGGTGTGATTTGGAGACGTTTGATGAACGAAAATCAGCAAAAGTCCGATGCGCACAGCAGTGTCAGTGGGGGGAAAAAAATAACGGGTAATTTTCAAATTACGTACTTGCGTACTGTCCTCTACGTTGAAACTTTGCGCACACATAGAACGGGAATATCTCGATCGAATGCTTTTTTTTCTATTAATAAAGGAGATTTTTTTTGGTTGAAATTTCTATGTGTACATTTTCTTTTTACACATGGTTTATGTATGGTTATCTTTGAGTGCACTAGTCACTACTATAGTTTGTAAATAAAATCAAGAATATTAATAAAGGAACAAAATTGAAATTTCGTACATTTTCTTTTTACACATTGTTTATTTATGGTCATCTTTGAGCTCACTATTCAATATGTGACCCCACAGCTAAAAACAACCAATAAGTCGCAAAATGAACAACAGAGATAATGGCAGGAGAAGCGGGCTTTTTGAATAGGATGCCAGTCATAAACAATGAAAATATGCAAGTTTAGAAAATAGACAAAAAATAGTTCACAAATTTGTATCATGTCATAAAAAATTTAAGTGCAAAAAATAGGAAGAAAATAGTACTCGCAAATAGGTAAAAAGAAGTCTGAAAAAGATTAAGGTGAAAAAATAGGGAAAAAATAGTCTGAAAAAGATTAAGATGAAAAAATAGGGAAAAAATAGTCCTATTTTTTTTGAGAAAATAGGCAAAAAATAGTCTGAAAAAGATGAAGGTGAAAAAATAGGGAAAAAATAGTTTGGTACTCGAGAATAGGAAAAAATAGAACTATTTTTTTCCTATTTTCTTTAAAAAAAATAAGAATAAAATAGTCCATAAAAGTTGAAGGTAAAAAAAAATGGGCGAAAAATAGTTTGTGCTTGAAAATAGGAAAAAAATAGGACTATTTTTTTCCTGTTTTCTTATAGGAAATAGGAAAAAAATAGTCTGAAAAAAAATATAGGTGAAAAAAATAGTTTGTACTTGAAAATAGGAAAAAAATAGGACTATTTTTTTCCTGTTTTTTTATAGGAAATAGGAAAAAAATAGTCTGAAAAAAAATATAGGTGAAAAAAATAGGGAAAAAATAGTTTGTGCTTGAAAATAGGAAAAAAATAGCCCTATTTTTTTCCTATTTTCTTGAAGGAAATAGGGAAAAAATAGTCTGCATTTCCAGAAAATAGGGAAAAAATAGGAAAAAAATAGGGAAAAAATATATTTTCGCAACACACAAAACTACTAGGGCAGTCCATACCAGAGAGATATCATTACCTGGAGGGGCAAATAAGTTTATCTTTACGCTTCAACATCAAAGTAAGGATTCAGAAGAGTAATCATTTTCTACATTACACCTAACATTCTGATGTTGGGCTTAAATAGTGAACACCAAAGACTAGAAGCAGCATCTAATTGCTGAAGAAATGTGGCTTGTTGTCTTGCCCATTTTTGCCTTATATTGAAAAAAGCATATTTATATGGTACTTACAGTAAGTTAATGAAGGAGATGTAATATATTGTTGCTTTTTATTACACATCAGTTTTCCTTGATAAATTAGTCAATTGGTCCCTACTATATGATGAATGAAAATTATCGTTTACATGTATGAGTGTTTACAATGCAAGTACTATTTCACTGTTGTTAAAAACTGTTCTTCCCTGTAGGAAGCCTTCACTGCTTTCCACAATGATGAGGAATTTGTGAGGAAGCACATGAAAGCTATCCATATTGGGCAGATCATGGAAGATCAGGTGGAGTGTAAAGATGTTGTGAAAGACTTTGCTGAACTTCGAAAGACTGCTGAGCAAATGGTAGGTATTTAGAGCATTTCCTCCTTTAAACAAAAATATTTTGCAAGAAAATTATCTTAAGACATAGTAGATTACAGATACCTGTTTTTTTTTTTTTTTTTTTTTTTTTCTAGTTAGTGAAACTCTCTTATTTTTTGTCCAATTTCTTTCAAACTTTCCCCAGTCTGCTTCTCTGATTTCTCTGACTTTTTTTTTTAAAGAAAAAATATTTGATTGCTAATAAGGTTTCTTAAAAAAAGGAAGATGAAGTGAATTAGATCTCTACACTTTACTTTTTTTCAACTGCCAAGGTTTGCCAAAATCCCTATAGATTCTTACATTGTTGAAAGTTGTTTCTTTGTGTATTCCAAATTTTCTCCTTAACACATGTGAAATAGATATGTACATGAAGCATCAGACATTGGCGTAGCCAGGGGGCAAGGGTGGGGGGGGGGGCATGGCCCTCCTATTTAGCCCCTAAAAAATGCAGTACCTCATGCTTCATGTAGGTACATCCCCCCTAAAAGAAAGGTCCTTTTGGGTAGTGTATTTCATACTCAAGAAAATGACACCAAGATTATTGATATGGGTTGAGTAGTTTTGCTTCTACGCTTATTTTATTTAACAGTGGAACGGTGTCATTTTCGAAAATTTTAGGGCGAATAGTTGCCACATCTGCCCCCCCCCCCCCCCATTAAAATATCCTGGCTATGCCTGTGATTACAGAACGACAGATCTATCAAGGGATAGAAACTAAGAAAGTGAAACAATTTTAATAAAGCAGGTTTGCTTTGTCTATATTTCACCTCTAGTGATCTTGTAATGTGAGGTCTTTGTCAGTATCAAGTGAACAGTGATTATATATAAAACAGGAAATAAGGTAGACAATAGATAGAGAATGAGTTACGTGCACATCACAAAGGTTTTACATTTACATGTAGGCCATCCATTACAGGTGTACATAAAAAAGAATGGTGAGTGTGTAAGTCACCTTGTGTATGTACGGAAAGAATCTGTAACTTATTAGTAATGAATGATTTTAGTTGGAAGTTGAGAGTTATGTCATTTATTAAAAAGTATCATTCACAGGGACCAACAGTGATCAAGAAGTTGAAATTAATTATTAAGTTAATGTGCTTAAATTTTAGCTAGAGTGTGCTATATTGGCGTTGCTGTGTTAGTTCTTGACATTTAAAAAAAGTACTGCAGTCATAAATTTGACTTGATTGGAAAACTAGTGCCTCATAATTTGTTTAATGATACAGAATACTTGCCTTTAAACACATTTGAAATCTGTTGATCAATAACTAAATGTTAAAGCCTATTTATATTTGTAGAAGGTCTAGTAGCCTAGGGATGCCCATTGATATATAAACATAATTTAGGAGCCTTGTGTATGGAATTTAACTGGGCTATTAAAAATATCTAATCATGAGCTCATCCATTTGTATTGATGAAAATAGACCCAGATGCAAAGAGTCTGTCAAGTTTGTTTGGTGAAGATAAAGAAAATGGGACAATAACCCTGATCGGGTGAAAGATGGTTTGTCTTATGTGACCTTTGATCAGTAATTAGGGTATTGAGCGATGTGTAATATTGCACGTACAGTATATCCCATGCCTATATGATAAACTAAGGTAAAGGTTTGAGACTTCTGTTTTGGCATGCCATTCCTAAAGAATTGGCAAAAGTTCAAGTTTTAGGTAAATCGTTCCATTTCTGTATCATGAACTTTGTTGAGTAAATATGAAAGCAGATCATACCATGAGCATCCCTGGACGGTGTGCACTCTATAGTTTACACTATTATTATTATTATTATTATTTATTTGAAAACTGTTATAAGTGAGTTTTGCAACTGGAAAACATTAATTGCATTGTTTTTCTACTAATGAAATCTTAACTTTATGACACATGAATTTATCTGAAGATGTGAATATTTAGATGAAGATGTTATTAAAGTGAATATGTAATTAACAGTGTTTCTCACAAGATTAGGAATATGGAGACAAATAATTAAGTAATAAAGGTAATGAATAAAAAAAGTATAGAAATTATAGACTAAATAAAATAGGAAGTAATAAAGTAAATGAGGAAGAAAATAAGTAAATACAAGAATAAAATGACAGATTAGTTAGTGCTACATTTGAGTTCTAAAGTACTACATGTACATGTACATGTAGTGTACCATACATGTATATGAAACATGCAATTTGGGCATGTGGCTTTAATTTTATGGAATTTTAAAAACACCATGGCATGAAATAGCTGTAAATTTAATATGCATCATGTCCACATGTCTGTTAGTCTCTAATTTTCAATTACATTTTTTTCCTCCAAAAATACAGATCAGTGGTTTACATAATAGTGGTACACAATTCAAAGATTACATCACTTTATAATTACATCACTTTTCTTTACATCACTTTGCTTACATCATTTCAAGAGACTGAATGCTAACCTTGGACAGTCATGTAAGAAATGGATCCTCACAGGGGCTGTGTACAAACTGGTTGAACAAACTTTGCTCCTCAGTGACACACTGTACCAACATACTGCCTTTAATGTCTGATTAATCACTAACTAGTAACAAGATCTTCACAGTACACATGTGTCTATGTATTGATGGAGTATTACATAATAATGACTCTGACATTCATCTATTAGAACCATACATGTATATTTTTAAAGAAAAAATGAAGTACTTTAACCCTATACAAAGAAGAGAAGAGTTAGAAGATCTGAGTTGTCTAAGACTAAGAGGATTATGGAATATGAACAAAGTAGAGTTGTACTTATGGAAAGTACCACTTTGCCACCAATGAAAAACGAGTAATGTAATCTTAAATACTGTACACAATTGAATTGGCAACCAATGGAGAGATTTCAAAATGGGATCTGAGTGGGTTGACTAGTTGACCTCTTAGATAAAGTAACAATACGGGAAGCAGTATTTTGTCTCTATGGCTCTATGGCTCGCTGCAATGCAACAATAGAATTGGTTATGCATGTGACGCAGTTGTACAGGCAAATAAATATTGTTATTTTAGTTCTAGATATAAAGCCTAGATGAACTTTGCTCATTTGCTGCCTGTGATCAAGTCATACAATTTAGGTTTAAATAACATGTTTAAGAATACATACATAATTCAAAATCATTCTTCTTAAACAGTTTGTAGTAGTCCTTAAGTAACTGCAGCACCAAAAAGGTACTAGAAATGTTGAAAAAAGTTGATGTAGGTACAAAATGAAAAAATAAAAGTTTTCTTCATTCGCCAAATTTGAATAAAAAGATGAATACATCAATATGAGCAAGAAAAGGACAAGTTGTTTCAGAGAATGTAACTATGTTGTTTTTTATGATCAAGTTCATGAGTTTGCAGTGGTAATCTATACAAGTGTTCTTGAAGTGTATTATCTAGATAATTACTCAAAGAAAAAAAAACTGAAGGTGGCTTACAGTGTATATAATTGCACATGTTATTTGAAATTCATGCTCATTCATTTGACATTCATTTGACATTGGGAAAGAGAGATACATAAGCAAATCTGACATGCGTCATGTGCATGCAGCAGTGCGATGACAGGATGTATCATTTGGCCCTCAATACAAATACTTAAATTGTTTTATCTCTCACAAGATTATCACAAGGTCACAAGACTCTTGAAATAAAGCCATGGAACTTGGTATTGACATGATATCCGTCCTGTTGTATTAAACCTGCTTTGGGATTATGTGGTCTTCTAGTAATTTGTATGGTTAATTACAGTTTTGATGAATGAACATGAAATGAATATGTTGAAGAAGGCGTGAATATTATATTATTATATACCATGCTAATATTTTTTTATTACAAAAAATTGCCTTACTCGGACTTACTTTTAATGTACCTGGTCCACTTGCCCAGTTTGGAAGTACGGTAATCAAGACATTCCTTTGAAAATATTGAGGTTTATCGTGGAAAGTCTGTTCATCGTATAATGGTGATGCTAAAAATTGCAATTTCTACATCACAGTTTCTTTTAGAAATTAGAACATACACACTCTCTTTATCATTTTCTTTTCCCCAAGTGTATCAAACTTTCATGAAAGGATTCTTAGATAATATTTCAATTTGTGGGAAAAAAAAATTAGCCCTGAAAGTAAGATTGCATGAATATAGTAAGTACACAGTCATTTATCAGTTAATATTATTTACTAAATGTTGCCAGACTCATCAAGGCTCATCTTGATATAAAACGTTTAAATGGCACTGTCTAGACACATATCTGATGTAACTTATTTTGATTGTATATTTATTTTGATGGTTGAAGAAATAAATGAATTGAATTGAATATCTAGTATGCTATGGCCAGTGTTCCGGTCAGTGGTCTAGTCAATATTTTCATTCATATTGAAGAGGTCAAATTGGAACTATTGAAACATAAATATCAATCTTTACTTTAATATAAGGGCTGATATTTGGAAATTACTATGTTTTTCTGGCAATGTGTATCAGTTTCATAAGAGGTCAAATTCATATTGATATGATTACAGGAATTTCTTCCCAGGTGTTTACATGCAAATGCAGGGTTGTAAGGTTCAGGGCAGACTTTAACATGAAGAAGAATTTGAGAATAAACAACAATGATAGAAGCAAAAATAGAAAGAAAGATACTCTATATTATGTTTATCTATAATAAATATAAAACATTTTCCAATTTGTAAATCTAAGTAAAAGGGCATGGGACATAATGTACATGTACTTTTCACCTGACAGTATTGCTATGATTATATAAACATTAATATACATGTGTATATGAAAACTGTTAAAGGTGTACACATAAATGAAAGTTTTGCAGAAAACTTACTCGCACCCACAGGTATTAATGTCATCTACTGTAATATGCTGATAAATCATATAAAATTGACCCAATTCAAATGTTTTTCTTTTTTGATATTCTCTCTTTTCTAGGGCCTCTTCAACGCCAACTTCCTCTTCTTCTTCCTGCACATGAGTCATATCATTGGTCTGGAGATTGCATCTTATATCGTCATGAGGACATATGGATTCAACTGGTGGACATTCCTAGCATGTGTAGCAATGCACGGCACACTTCAGGTACATTCACCATGCTTTCTCAATGCAAGACAATACAGTGTGTGTGTGTGTGTGTTTTGGGTTTTTACAGACGTGTACCAATCAGATATGCTTATTTACGTCTGGGGACCGAACTTTAAACGTCACCATCCGAAAGACGTGACTCAGTTTTGAACCTGCGTCCTCGGCTGAATCAGTTTGTACATGTAACTTCCATTGTTAATAGCTGGATTACAGGCGCACACCACAATGCCTTATTCTGCCTAGTTGTAAGGCAATACAGAAATGTGATTGACTCTCAGTAGCACAATTTGATATGTCCTCATCTACAATACACTTGCTCATTTTAAAGAGAAATAGTAGTAATGACCGTTTCTTATGAAACAAGCTTACTGACCAAAGCGCTAATACAGTATTACCATTCACTGGATTCTGCACTTCCAGTGCACACTCTCTACTCCTCTTGGAGCATTCCAGCCAGCCAGCCAGCCATGATAATCTAAACACATCAACAATAATCAGACATTATAGAGGCTTTGTTTTATCACAGTGTTCAAATTAGACATATAGAATTACTGAGTTGCAATTAAATTAGATAGCATTCTGTCTAAAAACAGAGCCAACATATAGCCGAAGCCAGACAAAGTTAGCTCTGTAATACATCATTGTTTAAAAGAAAATTGAGTATAAATGATTGGAGATGATCAATGGGTCCTGAAGAAAAAATACATTAAAAAAATTATTTACGTTGAACTACTTCCGTAATAAACTTTGTACTGAATGAAGAAGAATATGTTATTCTTACATATAATCTTTTTCTTTAAAATATGTTTGTGTAAGCTTTATGGTAGTACAGAAATCTCATAAGAGATGGAGTTTTATATTCTATACATTTGCACAAAACACAATTACATTATCTCCTTGTTTACAATGGAAATGTTAATGATAACAAACAAATTTTCTGCTTTTAATTCAGGCTCAGGTTGGGTGGTTTCAACATGATCTTGGTCACCTGTCTTGCTTCAAGTCTTCAAAGTGGAACCATTTCTTTCACTATTTCTTCATGTCTACAATGAAGGTAAGTGTCTTTTGATTTGGGTAGCTTGTATTAATAATAATGATATAGAGTATTTGTAATGCGCCAACTCCACATGAATAATGTGTTCGAGGCGCATGGAGAAGAAAGGATATAAGTACACAAAAATACACACAAAAATGAACAACAACAATGTGAAAGTAAAACTAAATCTACTGAAAAGCCGCTTTGAACAAATGAGTTTTGAGGGCATGTTTAAAGCAATCTACATTTGAAATATAACGAATATGTTGTGGCAATTGATTCCATAAGTAAGGTCCAGCGTGTGCAAATGACCGATCCCCCCCACGATTTCTTAGTTTTCGGAACAACAAGCAATTGAGAATCGGAAGATCTTAAGCGTCTAGGCGGATTATAAGGCATCAACAAATTAATATTGTACTCTGGGGCAGATCCATGTATACAGTGAAAAACAAGCAATAATAATTTAAATACAATACGGGATTCAACAGGTAACCAATGTAGTGAAGACAAAAAAGGAGTAATGTGAGAAGTACGTCTGGTAGGGGTAACAATACGGGCTGCTGAATTTTGTAATTTTTGTAACCATGAAAGTTGAGATTGTGGCAGCTGAAACAAAAGTGCATTACCAAAGTCCAGTCGAGACGATATGAGGGCATGAACTATTTTATTAACTCTAAGGAAGGTTAGAGCTGGCTTGAAATGGCTTGTACGGTTCTGCGACGGTTGCCTCGCGCAGTCACTTTCGTACACTAAACCTACATGTAACTCCTACCTTCAAGCCTGATCCCAACACTCAACCTAACTTCAATTTAAAATGTTGGATCACCTTGAAATCCTATCTTTTCATTCTATTGATGTACAGTACGTTTTACATTTGTTATCTATCCAGAGAGACTGTAAGTCCTCCAATTAGTAACATAGTCGTCATTGGCCTTTACAATGATAGGTTAGGTTAGGTGCTGCAATTTTGATAGTAACTGGCCATCTAAGATAAGTTGCATGTGATCCAAATTTTGGGGGTATGGTCTCTACATGTACACTAAGAATTCAAATGCAAGGACTTAAAAGGATACAGGTATTAAAACAAAATGACCACATAAAAAAAAAAGGACAAACAAGATATTGTTGCTGTACCGTCTAAATCAGTATAGAGGAATCATGTATTTCACTATGTACTTGTCCCATTCAAGGTGAGATTCATATGGATTTCCTGGCAGAATTCTTCTTTCGTCTTGCTCCAAATTGAGTGTAATATTTTTTCGCAGAATTCCAGAGTCCTTGTTGGGAGAATAGAGAATAGTCCTTGATATTTTCTGAAATCTTCCATACTTTTAAATGGCACCATAGGTTTTGTGCACTAGCAGGAACCCTGTGTTTACTTGTGCATGTGTATGTAAAGATACACATTTGAGAGTGATAAGCATGATTGATGTACTAAAAATGACTTTCTTTCTGTACCCTCAACAGGGTGCATCAGCTAAATGGTGGAACCACATGCATTATCAGCACCATGCGAAACCTAATGTGGTAAGTACAGATTTATATGTGCACCTTTCTATCTCTCTCTTTTTTCTCTTTCTGTCACACTCTCTCCCTCTTTGGCTTGGCTCAGTATATTACTTGATTCTTTCTTTTTCATCCGACTGGAGGTGCAAAGGTCATGGGTTCAATCCCAGCATAGCTCTTATTTCCTTAAGCAAGGTATTTTATCCACATTGCCTCTGTCACCCAGCTGTTAAATAGGTACCAAGTGGGATGAGTAAAGCCATCGTGGTTTGCACAGCATGGTGAGCATCTGTAACATGGCACCTAGCTGGACTGCTCCCCAGGGAGTGGAGAATGTGCATAGATTGTGTGGAGGCAAGCCTGAATCTGATGACTGGGTGAATAATAGTCTTTAAAGTGCCCAGAGATATTGTTGATGGATAAGTGCTGTTCAAACCCAGAATATAAAAAAAAAGGAAATGGTGTTTAAATAGTGAGGAGAGTGCTAAAAGTGATGATGCTGAAATATGAGTATAACCATGAGGATGATGACAATATATTCTTCATCCTGCTCTACAGATGAACAAGGATCCTGATGTTCGTCTTGAAGCACTTTTTGTAGTGGGAGAGAAGATGCCTAAGGTGGTAGCCGAGAGTGGAAAGTCATCAATGCCCTACCATCTTCAACAATGGTACTTCTTCATTAGTAAGTTGATCTCATCCAGACTCACATGCTTGTTATTTCCAATCCATTCTATGCAATATTTCATCTGTTTGGAGCCAGAAGGGTGTATATTCAATACTATATTTAAACACTGCGTTAACCTCTCTGGCTCTGAACAAATAATTTGCTATACTGCTTTCGCCTTTCAGTTACAAACTGCTTCACATCTGCTCCACAAAGTGATATGATGGCCACTTAAACAATGATAAAACAATTTAAAGAGACCAGATGAGTCTATAAAGTCAAATGACAATCAAAATTCAGTGGGCCTTCAAAACGGTCTCTTGAAATATACAGTGTGTGTGTGTGCTGCAGTTATTATTGACCATTGTGAAGTTGAAGGTCCCAGATAAAACAGAACATGTGTATAAAATCAAACAACATAAACTTATTGTTAGTACATAATGAACACATTGTCAATTCTCCATGCATTAAGCATTTAGGAAACAAAGTGACGCGTAGTCAATTAACTGATATATGAGGAACATTTGAAGGAGATATTGGATTTTCATGTCCTATTTTGTATGATGAGCTATCTTGTCATTAATGCATATGATTTGTATGTATGTCCATATGAATGATTTTCATACATCTTGCAGAGCTGCCAACCATTTCGTTTTTGCCGGAATTACTCCCGTTTTTTCTTCATAAAATATGTTTTTTAATTTATTTATTTATTTAAAATTTTTTTTTTTACATACCGCACGTCAAACAACTGCCCTTAAATGGTGATTTGATCACAAATTCAATAGAAAACTAATTTTAAAACATACTTGAAGAGAAAAATATTCTCAAAAAAAATGAAATACCGATAATACCATAATAACCACCAAAAAAATTACCTGGTTGTATGGAAAAAACAGCATGATGAATGAACATTTCTGCATTGGAAGTGTGTTGCGCGTGGTTGTAAGTTTCGTTTTTATGAATTCCTTTTTTTTTGCTTGAAATTCTTTTTTTTGCCATCATGATTCCTGTTTTTGGGTTCAAGGTTGGCAGCTCTGATCTTGGGAATCTTTAAGTGTTCTTGGTTTTTATTGATGTGCATGAATACTCCCATCATTTTTTATGTACATGTACATGAGGTTCAAGGGCTATATAGCTATAATGATGCATAATGATGCATCAAAAGAAAAGGCAAAGGCTTCGTAGTTTTTGTGTGTGTGCCTCTATTAAAGCCACGTCTCTCAAGCACTATATACTGGCAGTATTTGCTTACAATACCTCTCTCTGATTGAATTACTTAATATGTTTTATGATTTATTTTCTAGTTGGACCCCCTCTGCTGTTTCCTCTCTACTTCCAGTTTATGATTTATCGTCACATGATCAAGCAGAAAGAGTGGACTGTGAGTCAAACTTTCATTTGAAAAACATTTAAAGTGTACCAATCACCTGAAATTTTGTTTGTGTAAAGTTATAATGTATAAAACCAACCTAAACAAAACATAACAATATAATTATTTACCCTGCGTTTCGGGCTCGCATGGAACCTAAGTTGGACTTGAGTTCCATGCGCTCCCTTTTCTGTGCAAGTGCCTACGCTTGTGTTAACTAGTTTACTCATCAAAAAGTGTTAAGGTTATTATTATTTATTTATTTATTTAATTATTTATTTTCCCCTCCCCGACGAAGTTGGAGGGGATATAGTAACGCTGCCGTGCGTCCGTCCGTGCGTACGTCCGTAACAAATTGGGTTTCCGATCGATAACTTTAGTAATGTGTGACAAATTTTAATGAAATTTCATATGAAGGTTCATGGTATCAAAATACAGGCTAAGTTCGATTTTGGAGTACGTAGTTCAAAGTTCAAAGGTCATAGCTCACTAAATATGCAAAAAAATACACATTCAGTTTCCAATCGACAACTTTAGTAATATTTGACAGATTTTAATAAAATTTGATATGAAGGTTCATGGTATCAAAACCAGGCCTAAGTTCGATTCCGGAGTATGTAGGTCAAAGGTCATAGCTCATTAAATATGCGAATCTGGTTTCCATTCGATAACTTAAGTAATGTTTGACAAATTTTAATGAAATTTAATATGAAGGTACATGGTATCAAAATGCATGTACAGCCTAAGTTCGATTTCCAAGTATGTAGGTCAAAGGTGAAAGGTCATAGCTCATTAAATATGCAAAAACACCTAATTATATATTGAAATGTGGTTAACTTCCTTCCTTGCCTAGTAATATAATAGTAAAGTCCAATGGAGGTAACTTGTTCTGACGTACATGTACATGTACATGTATATAGGCCATTTGTACCCTGCGAGGGGATGCTATGCTTTGCGTTGACTTTTTTTTGGTTTTTTTTTATTTTTTAATTTTTTTTTTTTTTTTTTTTTTAAATATTTTTTTTTCTTTAAATATTTTTTTAAAATACTTTTTTTGGGGGGGGGGGGGGGGGGGGGGGTAGGGTAGAAGTGGGTATGTTAATATATTGATATCTTTATGAAGGTGCAAATGCCAAGGCCCAAAACTTAATTTTGGGGGAATAATGCCACTGACAAGAACTTGGGCAAAAACAAGATTTTATATAAACCATTGTGTTGGGGGAAAGACACAGTTCTCCACAAAGCTCTATGGTTCTGTTTACAGATTGCTGGCTTTTTGCATGTTTGATTCATGCATTGTTTTGTTGATAGTATTCGTGATGCTTGCAGAAATCATGTCATAACGAAATGGTGTAATTTTCTCATCATTTGTTGTTCTAGGACCTCTTCTTCAACTCGCTATACTACGCCAGGTTTTTATTCTGCTATGTTCCTCTCATGACGTGGTGGCAACTTCTTCTCTTCTATGAAGCTTTCAGGTTGGTTACTTTTATAGATGGACATGTACATTTCAATTCAATAATGGTCTTTAAAGAATCAATAGGCAGCATTAGATTTAAAGGTAATACAAAGTTTTGGGAAATTTTGAAAAATGGGTGGATAGTGGTTCTTTACAATTTTGATATATTTGGATGCCCTTGTGGATGTATTATAAGCACTAGAAAATTTAGCCCCTAGAACACTTCTGCTTTCTAGAAAGATTGAATATAAAAATTTGCCGGTGCTCCCGGTAAATTTTGATAAATTTCAAATAGCGCCTACGGCCGTACAATGGTAGCTGCGACCATGAAAATCTCAGAATATGTAGTTGTGATATATGATTTCCAAACGGGAATAGCAAATTGGTCGATTGTAGTCAAGAAACAGCTATACAACATGAAGAGTTTATTATTTACAATTTCATAACTTTAGACTCGATTTTAACTGCGACAACGATCAATGGATATTGTAGGATCACATATGCTTTCAATATGTTCATTTGAACCGAATTCATGACCCAATACCAAAACTTTGTATTACCTTTAAGCATTAAATTATTTGTCATGGTTTGCATATTAGTGATAGTTAAAATATGTAAGACTTGTAAGATGCCGAATCGTCTCCCCAAATTTACTTGAAATGAATTGCTCAAGGCACACTAGTTCAAAAGAAGTAACCGCATATGTATACATACATAGAGTTATTGAGGTATATTGTACTCTTCTATACTTCTCACAGATTAATCAAGAGCAGATTGCACTCTGAAATTAAAAAAATAAATATGATTTAAAAACTTCATGGATATATCCTTAATATGGTATTATTATCTAAACTTTTCTTTCTCATATGTCTATTTTTCACAGAGTTATGGAGAGTATTTGGTTCACCTGGGTTTCTCAGTCCAACCACATACCAATGGAGATTGATGTGGATTCAGCACGCCCATGGCTAGAGCTACAGGTTAGTTCCTTCATAGTTTGATGCATGCCTGCTGGACTTGTTCTTCCAGTGTTAATACCTGACGCTTGTAGAATTCTTAACATTAAGCCTAGAGTCAGTCCTATGCCTACCCCTAAACCTTGTTCAATCCCAACCCAAGTACTTCACCTACTTGGTGTGTCTTTGATGAAATAATAAATGTCGCTGGAGTCACTGGTACACATAACCTACTATTCCTAACACACCAAAGTTTTTATTTGTTGGTTATCTTTTTCTTTGATGTATGTGTAGATTCTATGAAACAACTTGTTAGCCAGAGAATGATGTTGCCAGATATTTTTTAATTAAGATTCCCCTATGCTGAGTATTGTAAATCGACAATATTTCATATTAAAAATTATTCTTGATTCTACCCCCCCCCCCCCCAAAAAAAAAAAAAAAATCTTTAACTTTCTATTTTTTTCTCATCCTAGCTTCGTGCCACCTGTAATCTTGAACAAAGTTTCTTCAACGACTGGTTTACTGGACATCTCAATTTCCAGATTGAGCATCAGTAAGTTTCATATCAGAAATAAACCAAAAGTGTTTGTTTGTATGGGTTCACTTTCCAGAAAGTCCATTTTACATAGGGTTCTGTTTCAATGGTTACATGTTATTAGCAATGCCAGCTAAGATTTGAAGTTAAAACTTTATGTAATCAAATTGAAAGTTGGATAACCTAGTACAACATTACACCGCCCATTTTCTAGTATTTGTGAATGAAAAAAAATGTATTGCAAACCTTGGGCAAAATATTTAAAGCCTCAAGTGCATCAAAGTCTTCATTTAGACACAAATATAGTAGACTGTATTGACTATGTAGCAAATTAGGTCATCCTTGCATTCAGTATTGAAAAAAACTTGAGCCAGATATCTTCCCTCTCTCAATACAAGTAAACCTTTGTTTCCTCTATGAAATATTTTTCTGGTTACTAACTGTTTAGTAGATAAACATAGTGAAAATGTAGTTGTTAATTATAATACATGCAAATGATGAATTTATAATGGGATATCTTGTGGTTTCATTTACAATTATCAAAACTTAATCGCAGATTTTACCGCATAATTCTATTTCTATGGTACAACATTTCTATTCTGTTTCAGTCTGTTCCCGACGATGCCCAGACACAACTACGTACGCGTTGCACCCTTGGTGAAGTCTCTGTGTAAAAAGCATGGTGTTGATTACAAGACCAAGACGCTGCTCGAGGGCTTTTCTGATATAGTCAGGTAAGGAACACAAGATTGAATCTTATTGTATCCCCTGGCAGTATGCCTGTGGGGTACTTTGGATTCAGCAGTGTTACGCTGCGTTATATTCTTGTGTGCGCTTGAACTGCCACACTCCTTGACGGATTTCTTTCAAATCTACAAGCCTATAGATTTTGGTGATGCTGCCTCCAGTGTTCCATCTGTTATAGGGTCAAAGGACATATTTTGATGGATGTCTTATTTTTCTAACCTTTATTTGCTTTCAAAATATTCAGGGTTTAAAGAGAAGGTTGAGTTCTGGGAAGAGGTAAAAAATAATTTGTGAGCGTTATCATTGTTATTATGCAAGGGTGGAAGAACATCGGATTAAACATGTTCCCTGAAAAGCATGGCTCTTCAAATGCCTTCCTATTCTAAATATGACATGAAACATCGTAAAAATCTGGGGTAGGTTTTTTTCGCCATGTGCTTGTGTAGTCCCATATACATCATTCTGTGTACAGTGCTTGTAACTTTGCCAAGATTTGGCCAAATTTATTATCATTTTGATGGTTCCAGAACCTTGCAATACACACGAATAATTATATACTAGATGATCAACCTTTTCTGATAGATTCCACACCATTTCTTTCACAATGCAACCACATGACCAGAACTCAACTTTATCTTTAAGGTAGTGAAATCAATTAGCAACAGTTGTAGAAAGAAAAGGAAAAAAAGTTCACACATTTGCAAAATATATTTTAATTTTTGTAAAAGATACCTTAGTGGGTGAAATGAGGAAGGCACAATGATACTTGTCAAGGTCTTTTCATGTGGTTCAATTTGTTCTGGGAGAAAATAGGCGTTACTTTGCAGTGAGTTGAATCTAGGGGGAGAATGGCTTTGAAATATTAAACGGTCATTCATAAAGGCATTTTTCCTGAAATGATGTATGCATTTGTTTTAAGAATGAACCTTATACTGATACTCACTATGGATTAGACTGCCATATTATTTGTAGTATATGGTACATATACACTGTATGTGTAACAATAGTTGACTGTGGCAGTCCGCTATTTGTTTGATTAGATGACCAAAGCCTGATAAGAGTTAGGCATAATGTTCCGTCAATCATGCTGCATTGACCTTAAACAAGCTTGGTTTTTGTTGATACAATGTATAAATCACCATCTGTCTCTTCATTAAAAAGGAACTTAAAACATTTTTTTTTTGTAATCCAGATTTTTAGGATTCTGTAAGTTTTTATTTTCATTTTTGTAGGATGCTTCTTGTTGTAAGCGCTTTGGGCCGCCCTGGGAAAAGCACAGTATATAAATAATAATAATAATAATAATAGAGCTTATGTAGAATAGGTAGTCGATACGCACTCATGTTGAGGTAATTGTTTCCTTTCATGTCTTTGATATTGGTCAGGTCCCTCAAGTCGTCTGGTGAGATTTGGTACGATGCCTACTACCACCTCCAGGACCAGTTTCCAGAGAATTAATTAACCCTTCACCTCTCATCTCCCTGCAAAGCCTGGATGACGCACTGTACATGAGTGGAGAATGGCATTGTAGGTGTTAAATTGAATGATGAAGATACCCCAGCAATGGTGGTAGTCCAGAATGTGAATGCGTCATTTTCTTTACAAAATATTAGGGTACTGTGTAATTCTTTGTATGTAAAGCCCACTGGACTCTATACGACCTGTCTATGATTTGATTTAGGAAGAATGGGATAGGAATATTTGAAGATGTCAAATTTTAATGATGGAGGTTCTGATTAGTCATATGATGAAACGAAACCCCAATATCTGGGTATTGCACTTCCTGTTGGTGGAGTAAAAGCCAAATTGGCTGCAAATCGTAGTGACATCATAATGATGCAATTATCTATAATATTGAGCAGATTTGGCCTTTTCTTCATCTTGAAATCTTCCAACAGATTGGATTTTGTTTGTATTCATATCATTATTCTCATTGGGAAAGAATGTTTTATGTTGAATGTTCATATCTGAGACAATAGCCGTTTCATTGGAAATCGGATCACGGTCGGATCGTATAGTGTGCGGTGGGCTTGAACTCTTTTGCTATCCTTTGCAAATCAAGGTGAAAGGTCAATCTATGTGTTTTTTATTTAATGTCCGGTCAAGGTCTCTTAGATCCAAAACTTCACAGGAAGTAAACCTGCTTGTTGGTGGTAATTTTTATGGTAAAGTGTGTTGTGATTTTGTAGAAAAACAATAAAATTTATAGATTTGAATAAGCCATCTGTATATATCTTATGCAATTGATTTTGCTCTTTCAATTAGAAAGATCATGCTTTTTAAAATAAAAATGGAGTCTACTGGGAAGGAAAACAAAATCACTTATTTGACTTGAATACTTTGAACTCAGTTTGGTGGAGATTTAATTACAAAAATTATGAATTATGAATTGATCTTTAGGTTCAAAACCATCTTCTTTCCCTGTATGATAGATCTTCATTCAACAACCATGCAAACCTAGCCTTAATCATGTTCTATTTACTTGAAATTATTCATTTGCAAAATGACTTTATTTCCTTTTTAATAGATATATTAATTTGATATATGCATATGAACTTGTATGGAATCATAGGCCTATTTGTATTACTTACATGACAGAGGGGAGTTAAGGTTTTAGTTTTTGAAACGATTATTGTAACATCAAAATTTTGGTGTGACCTTAAATTACATATATTTGTCTCAACTGTATTTACATGTAAGAAGAAGACAGGGAAAATGTAATTTGAATGTAATTTTATCTCCGTCATTTATCGTAGAGTAGATGTATAATTGTACTTATGAGGTGGGGAATGTTTCATATTGTTTTGCAATAACAGATGTCTTGCTTGCATTTTTACCATGCTGTCTAAAGAGATGAAGTTGATTTGTATAACATTTCACCTTTTAATATGCAGTGCATGTAATGTGGTACATTTACTTAAGATACATGTATGTACTCTTTCATGAGCATATAAAAGCATAAATCTTGCAGAGTGTTGAAATGCCAAGAAATAATATATCAGGCAATTAATTCCAGGTTTTCTGGTGACTTGTTATTTACATGAGGAGTAATTTTTTGTATAAAATACAACCAGATGAAAAGTTAATTCAGGTGTAGAATGTTACAACTATGGTGTTAGTATCATCTGCCTTGCAAGAGATATAGATTTGGGCAATTTTTCTTTAATTATCTAGATATTCTAGATTGTAGATTACTATAGCCTATGCTTTATGCAAAGAGTTACGATTGGGATTAGTGGTCAGTTTAAGCAAGGTTGAGATCATGTTGATTCAAATTGTATTTTGAGCATAGGATTGATGGTTTAAAGGACCATAGGATCTAACCTGAACGAGTATGGAGACTATGTTGATATTCAAAATAGTTTTATTTAGTACTCTTGAGAAGTAGCAAATTTCCTTTTTTTTTAAATGTGGTAAATACGGTAACATCTGATCTATATATATATTTTTGGATCTGATTTCAATTATTTTTCTTTCTTTCCATCTATTCCTTTTCCAATTTATTGCTTTTTAAACTATTGAATACACAGGTATTTGCCCTGTAAAAGTTTCTGCATGTGATATGTTGTGTAAAATGAATGAAATATGCATTTCTCATGAGCAGGCATTGCTAAGTTGAGTTCATTATTCTGCATTTGCATGAATATCGGTTGTATACATATACTGTGTAGATTGTACGCACTTTGCATACAAAATCTTCAATAATTTGCTCTGATTTGTCTCAAAGAAAATCATGTTCAAGTGTGATGAAATGAAACCAGCCATTATGTCACTTTTCTAGTAAAACAAAGCTTGTGTGTTTGGTGTTGGGTATGTTCACAAATGGGTGCTTGCAGTGCATTTCCCTTGTACAAGTACCAAGGGCCTCTTTCTCTAGTTGACTTTTGTTGAGCTCTATCCAAAGTGGAAAATATTAGCAAATGATTCAACCTGATATATTTTTTGCAACAAAATGTGGCATTGTGACTGGAGCATATATTTTTTACGAGGAAACAAAAAAAATACGCAGAAGATGTGTGAGGATCAAAGTAAAATAATAAATCATGAATTTGGTTGATTACTATTCAGCATCAAATTTTTACAGAACCGTTGAATGGAAATGTATTTGTAATGAAAACACATTGTGTATAATGTCAGGAAATTCATTTAATAGAATGTATCTTTTTCAGAAGTGTATTTTTCTTAAATTGATGAAGCAAATCATGAAAGATTGATTATTCTAAAATCAGTACAAATTATGCTCCATTAAAGTATTGTGACATCTGTAACGTGCCATGCAATGTGTAAAACTAGAAAAGAATGCATATCATTGATGTTAATTTTGCTGCTCTTCGTGACTGTAAATAACATTTTACAAGATTTAGAGGGTATGATACTTGTGTAACTTTTTAAATAAATAGCAGTATTCAAGGTTATAGTATTTGAAATCTGAACAGGAATATTTTGCTCAGCAAACAAGATGTCGAACTTTCCCCAATCTAATGATTGTGTGAAACATTATTGTGGGGAGAGCAAATCACTGTCCCAGCCATGGCAATGTGGTCCGTTCACAGCCAAAAGGCTAGAAATACCAAAGAGTGGTTCTATTACAGGTGGTAGTAAATCAGAAAGTTTTGGTTTGTCAACCAATTTTTTTTATAATCCGAATTTCAATCATGCAAACTTTTTTTAATTGCACAGAATCAAATGCAGCAGCACCAATGATTTTATTGGAACATTTTATTAATAAGGGTGTGTTATGTTTAACCAATTTCTTAATGTTCTACAGGCTAATAAGACACAACTTATTTTGCTTTTTTTAATAAAGTCATCAAATGATTGTCTGACACAGCCACTGAAAGAAGTGAGTTATTCTCTCATTTTCAGGCTTTTATAGTAACATATTCATATAATTTTTGCTTTGTATGCACATTACCTTAAATAATCTTAATGTTGGATTTTCCTGAGTTTGTGGTGCTCTTGCTGGCATTGGATTGAGGTTTGGAATCGTGGGGATTAAATACCAATAAGTGTTTTTTTTTATAATCATTGACTTCTTAAGAAGAAAGAAAAACATCTGCTGATCAGTCCATAAATTGCCACAAATATATGTTAAAAACAACACAAAATTGTTCATAAAGAGAAAACAGAAAAAAATGAAATATTGGTCTAACTTTCCAAATAATTGTTGATTTTTCAGGCTCTTCCTAAAGGTTGATCTAATGGGAGATGATCAAGTACTTTCTATTTTTTCTGAAGTGGAAAAAGATTACCGGTATTTAATATCCTCTCTTTTTTTTAGGGGGGGGGGGGGGTGTTGCTCCTACATGTGCAAGCATTTTATGTCTCAATCACACAATCATACCAAGTTCAAACCGACTCAAAACCCCTGTTTCAGGGCCTCATATTATGTATAGTATGCTTGGTCTGTTGTCAGACTGGTTTAGGTCTTGTTTGAATGATCGAGGTTTGTGGAAAGAAAATCGTAAAACCATTTCCCAGGTCTGCACACTTTGTTCTGGGAGTCTTCTAAAATGTTTCAAGTTCATATGAATTTGTGAGATTGTCTAAATCGTTTCGGTTAGGAGTGAAATTTTTTGAGGTGTGAGCCGAAAAATAGGTATTGATTGTTGTACTTTGGTAAGAATCATGAGAATTGGTGATTGGCAGAATGAGACCTTTTGAACTGTAATATATTGTAAGGAGATGAAAGAATGATACAAAACTGATCAATTTGGGTAATAAATCAAAGCAGATGAATATGTTGCATGGGTTATCGTTCCTTCTTTGTGGAGGTTTTCTGTAAGTGAGTCCCCGCTGAGTGAGATATTCATTGCAAAGATAGAAGACAAGCGAAACTTTGTAACAAGTTGAATTGTGTGAAAGCAGAAAGGAGTTGGTGAATTTGTGAAAGAAAATTGAAAAATCATGAGAAATTTGTGATTGTTTGAAAGCAGAAGAGAACTAAATTATATTTACACAATATTCTTTAATGTGTGCACGACACATCAATAACGGACTAGTAACTTTACAGGTTATTCCGTACTATATGTAACACCTCCATGGGTGCCGTGTTGTAGAGCCTTGAATCTTGTCTACATCAAACAAAGTTTGTACTTTTCACATAGAATTTATTCTTCTTCTTCTGTTGAAGTACAGGCCATCATGTTGTTGGTGTATCTTCATACTTATTTATCCATATAACAACACAAATCTCTCTGGTTAGGAGCCAAGGGACCTGTGAATGGCAAATCCCGCCTCTGTTGAACATCTAGTTTGAAGAACAGAATGTTGAATGATTGTGTACAATTACAAAAGATGTTGGATATCACAGTTCTCTATCTCTCTCTCTCTCTCTCTCACTGCTTTTCACTCTCTGCCCCATACATTTACAGAAAATTCTATATATTATAAATGTGTGCAAAGACTTGTGCACAATGTTCTCTCACTTTCTCTTTCACTCCCTTGCTTTCTCCCCTCTGCTTACCTTACTGCGAAAATATGACTGTATAATGTTGAAGAAAAACAAGCTGCGTTAGGACTACATTTAAATATTTGGATAAGTAAGCTCTTCCCAATCAAAAATTATGAATGCTAGCATGAATCATATCAAAATTTAAAAAGATATGTAAAGCTTTTCAGAGAAAAGACCCATATCAGCTGGGCTGCAAATTGTAACAATGTCACTGTCTAACCAAAGAGTTCCTCATGACTGGCAATGGACCCGAGGCCATCGCAGCGTTTCTATGACTGGGGGGGGGGGGGGGGGGGGGGCTAAGAACATCATATGGTTTTAGTATTCCCACATTTCACAAACATTCTGCTCCTCAGTCAAGAAGAATGTCAAAATCAAAACTTTCAAATCTAATCCTGCTATAATTTCACAATCCAATCATAAAGATCATGTCATCACTGAATCTTGAATCTCCTTTCAAAACTCATGATAATGATACATGTTTATAAACCCATAGAAAAAGCACTGATCAATAAATAGAGCACAAGAAAAAAAGACAGGAAGAACTTTCATTGTATTTTTGTAGCAACATTTCTTGTTTAAGTGAATGATATAGTCTCTGAGACATTTCTTTGACACAAATACAGAACAGAATATGAAATAATATTTGACATTTATAACTGCCTAGTGTACTCTATACTCCTGAATTATAAACAACATTTCATATTTGGTAAAACTTTTAGATGCTTTGTATCACATATCATTCAAATCTACATGTAAGTAGTATACATAAAGAATTATAATATCAGAGACTGTAGAGTTGAATAGTGATATAATGTATATTTCTCTTAAATGCACACACACACACACACACATCACATAAAGCTTTAACAGAATTTTCTTACATAAATTTGAATAACACTTTGCAGACACAAAGCACATATTCTTTTTGACACAAAAATAAAAATAGACTTACTTTCAAACTTAATTTTTCTATTTGTTTTGGCATGGTATTAAGTATCTTGCCTAATCATGAAAATAAGTACCGGTACATGTATCTTGGATAGAAATACATAAAAGTTCACATTCAAAAGGATCTCTAAGAATTGGAATTCTGATATTAACAATCTGATTCAGAGAAACGGCCATTTTTTTACATCAAATAAATACAGAGAGGTGCACCAAACAGCTAGCGCCAATGTAACCATTTCTAAGCATACCATAATCACAATTATCGTTTCAGTTTGGCCAATCATTGAGATGTGTTAACCAATGAAAAACAATACAATTAAAAAAATCTGAGAGCTTATTCAGTTTACTCTACTGAATGCTAGCTCAAGCATGCACATGTATATTGTATAACGAAGGACTGTACATACAGAGGCAGAACAATGTCATCTCAACAATTTGCTACAAAATCTGTCTGCCGCATTTCAGATCCATGATGATGTGCATTGCAACATGCATTGTTAAAAATCAATGTATATTAGATCATATTTGTAAATGCACACCCTTACACAGCTACATGTATCAATCATGAATGGTGGAAACTTGGAATTCTACTAAAACCTGATGCTCCATCTAAATTCCTGTTTAACAAAATTAAAACTTAGACCAGGGGCTAAATTCCTTTGCTAAAACACGACTTTAAAGTAAAGACTATGTATAAATTTGAGCAGAATACAGGCCTATGTCTCTTTCATCTGTGAATAGATCAGCGCAAACAGTTCACAAAATTTTAACGTATCAAAATTTCAGGCTTGCATCTGAAACAGTGAATACTGGTACTCAACCTTCAATGCTAGCCGGGGTAGAAACAAGCAATGTATGGAAACTGCATTCTAGTTATTGAAATACATTACCTTACAACATGGAAGTGCAGAAGTTACTCAAAAGACTCTTTGGAAAGAAATGATTCACTATAAAATGGAATACCATATGTGAACAAGTCTATCATATAACGGGCTTTGCTAACTCTCTTTGATCTACCGTATCACATGACCATTACAACTATTTTTAAATCACTGAAAGAACTACAATGTAAATAAATAATCAATTATTAGATATATGTACATGACATGTAGTAATGAGCACAGACACATAGATGCGAGCGATTACACATTTTTGAATAAGTGTGACTGATTCAGTATTTATTAGAGTATATAATTTTACTGTCAATTGCTATATATATATATATATATAGTGTTTCTTTGTATAATACATGTATATTAAGAAAATATATATGTATTTGGCTAATAATAATAATAATAGCTCACATTTATAATGCGCCTAATACTACGTTTCTAGGCGCGGAACATATTATTACCCCGGTCATCGGATTCAGGCTTACCCGCATACAAGGTATGCACATTCTCCACTTCCTGGGGAGCATTCCAGCCAGTCGCCATTGCTAATCAAACCACATTAGCTTTCGCATCCTACCGGATACGGATTTTAACACCTGGGTGGAGAGTGGCAAATGTAAATCAATGTCTTGCCAAAGGACATTAGTGCCGCGGCGGGACTTGAACCGCGGACTTTGTGATCCACAGTCCGGTGACATATCCACTCGACCACGACTCCTCTACAAAAATTAGTCGCTCCTGGGTGAGCACGAACCACCAACCTTTCGGTTAACAGCCGAATAGACTGGTTTACTGTATTGATGTTTCTTTCCTGGAGACCTACATGTACAGTACATGTATACTAGTGAAGGGTTATTCCATTAATTTATTGTTAATAAATGAACAACTATAATTGGAATCCAACCTGCATAAATTACTTGTTGCTATGTCAGGCAAGCCTTGGACAAGCTTTCAGTTTGTAAAAAAAACTTGTTTAAAAAGCCAAGTAAAAAACATATTACAGGAGTATCCCTTCAAGTTATACATGAGTTGGTTTTGTGTGCTGCCCTCTAACAAAATGTAGCATAAAGGTGACCTTATCAGCGCACTGTTCTCCGCACATACTACATCGGAAACTAGACCCTGGTTCATGACATCCCTTATGTATGACATACATCAAACTGTCTTCAAATGTGATACCACAGAAGGAACATCTCCATGGTAACCCCTCCTGGTCTCTATCCCCCAGCAAGGATGAATTGACCAGAGGGTGAGGAGGAGGTGGGTGACTGGACTGGGAAGATGAAATCTGCATATTTGGTGATTCATTGCTCATTCTCCCAAGAGATGGACCAGAGTCTGAACCCTTTCTAGAATCATTTCCCTGAGGTACAGAGAATCTAGGAGAAATGGCAGGCTCTATTGGTCTATCTACTTGCATGGTTCCACTGGATGATGATGCCTCTGTTCCACCTAGGGTCACAGACTGAACTTTCCTATGTTGATCATCTTTCTCATTATGCCTGCTTTTTGTAACTGAACCTACAACTTGGTGTTCAGTCCTTTCTCTGTTAGCTATTTCTTCATCTCTGTTGAAAGTATAGTGAGGCTGTGGCTCCTGAATACTATCACCATCACCAGATGGTTCCTCTGATGTTGTTGTGTTACTATGTACTTGTACAATGTTCACAACTTCACTCCATTCTTCCTCCTCCTCAGCTTCTGTCTTGATGGTGATTCTGTTAATGGGACTCTGGCTTCTCTGTTCCGAAGCACTTTGGCTGCTTGGTGTCTCTTTGCTGACTGGGCTACTTGTTTCATATTGAAGACTCCCCATTGAATGTGCCGATCCCGCATATCTTGCTGCAAGGGATGGTGGAAACTCGACCAAAGCACCCTCTGCACTTGCAGGATACCTACTGATCATAGCAAAAGGTGCTGGAGGATTTCTCAAGAACGAGTCTAGACTCCTGCTACGGGTATTAGCTTGTCTCTGAGCAGAGACAGCCATCAAATGCGCAGCACTGTTTGGTGAGACAGGAGACAGACTTCCAGGTGAGTCTATAGGCGGTGACAACAAATCCGAACTAGAAATAGCTGTGCAACACGAGTTCTTCAGGTGCCTTTGATACTCTGCCTCGTCAGCCAACAGAACCCCACATTTGCATCTCCGAGGGTTCCACTGATAAAGTCTACTGTGCCCTTTCATATGGCCTTGTAATGCCCTATTTGTTTGGAACTGTCTGCCACAACGTCTACAACTCACAGGTTTATCTCCTTCATGCGATGTTGAAGGCAATGGGTCTGGGTTTCCCGATTGGAGGTCAACCCTAACAGGTATATTTGGTGGTCTGTGCTTTTTATAGGTCTTTACCATTGCAGGATGCTCTATGCTGATGTGCTTTTGCATGCTGCGAGAACCACCAATGAAGATTCCACAATGTGGACAGCTTCTCCTCTTTTCTGTGTGTATCTTCAAGTGCTCTGTCAAATGCTGAATATCTGAGAATTGAGCATGACAAAGGGTGCAGGTATGTGTCTGAATATCAGCCATGGAGCTCTTGTGGGATCGCCTGTGCCTTTGAAACGATGCCCGTGAGTTGAAGTTAGCAGGGCAATGTGGGCATGCATACGGCTTAGCTCCCATGTGCTTGTTGATATGAAGCATGAGTCTCTGTTGGCTAGAAAACACACGATCACACATACTGCACTTCAGAAGGAATCCTGGACTGCTGTTTTCTGATCCTGCAGCATTTGCTGATGCCTCACCAGGGCTGTCCAAGGATTCAGTTTGCATGAATTCAACCCTCACATCATCCTCAATGTCATCTTCATCATCATCATCCAAGACAACAAACTGCATGTCCATATTAGTTCCTGTGGTCTCTGAGGATGACTCTCTGGATATGTGACTACCATGCTTGGATAAGTCCTGTGGAACTGCAGACTCGTCTTGTTTCATTGTTACTACTAACATTGGATTCTGGGAGCCATAGTTCATAAGCTGGGTGCCTCTTTCAAGGGGTGGTCTGGTCGAGGGATCATCACTACTTTTTGACCTCTGTGACCTTGGATGTCCAGGGATACCCAAAGCTGAGCTGGCCTGTGGAGCTGGGTCAGGCTTGTCCTGCTGAGTGCTCTCCATTCCACGAGTGACAATAACCTGAAAATGAACGACAAATAAATTGAGGAATCAATTAGTTTCATTTATACAACTCACTCCTAGATCCTAATCAAATGATTGGTCAAGCGCAGTCACATGTGATTCATTTACTAAGCCTATTGCACTCGTTTTAATGAAAAGGAGTGCAATATTTCCAGTACTATTGAACTCGTTTTCAGAGCGCAGTAGTGCGCGTAGAGGTTAGAGCGCGTAATACTGCGTGAGCATGAGCCTATTCTTGCGCAGCACTATGCGTAAATGGGTATAGGGTAATTAGTGCGCTTGCTATATCTATAGCTATGTTTGCACACTAAATTAAGCCTTATTAAACTTGAGATTTATTTGTCAGCCAAATACTGTCACAAACAATCTTGAATGAATTTTTTTTTACACCAAATAACAAGGATCTAGGAGTTTCGTTGTATAAAACAAATGATGCATGTTTTCATTCATTCATTATAGATCTACGATCTATCCGCCCTTGTTGATGCTGTGTGTATCTATCGCACTCAGCCTAATCGCTTCGTGCAATAGATACACACAGCCTCAACTCGAGTGCAGATAGATCGTATAATGAACTCATGCGCATGCATCATTTTTATAATATAGGTCTAGATCTAATATAGATTCTAGGCCTATACTATAGAGGTCTATAGAAGTTCTTCAAAACGTATTGTTTATTGTCTGCCGAGTGTTGTTCTATTTATCATGAGGATTACTTCAATCCGAGATCATATTCATAGAAATATAGAGTAGACTCAATCATGGAAGCACAGCTCAGGTCGTCAGGAAGTGATTTGTTGACATCTGATTCCGACTCAGAGAACTAGTATAGCTAGGGGTCTAGTTCAGATCCAGAGATCCGTATAAAATATAGTTCAGGCAATCTGGATTGTAGCCGATTGCTGGGCACTTGTTTATTTTGCTCTAGGTCTATCCCAACAATGAAGGTCCCTGACATTTTGTAATAGAATTTAATTTTCTAGGGAGGTCTAGATCTATCTAGATCTACTCACGTAGTGCCTAGTCTGTCTGCTAATGGCGAAGTGGAAGCTTTCAATTTCACATCATTCATTCACAATCACAGTTCCTTTCACGTTCAGGCACTGTGTGACTGAACCAGGTTGAGCTGAATATAATTCGAAGATGTTCCAACAAACACTGTCTTTAGTATAGGATCTGTAAGCAGTATTCTTAGAGTCAAGACAAACAGAAATTTATCAAAAAGATGGATTGGATTCCATATATTCACATCACAGTGAAATAATATTGTACCACACACATTACTAGGGAGCTGTATATATTTCGATTATTCTATTCGGACTCAGGGCAAACCAAGAATGGGATAGAAACAAATAATGAAAATTTGAAATTTACTGTTCCGTTCAATTAATTTAGAAAAAAGTGTTGAGGACAATTAAAAAACAATAATGGAAATTTCTTGTAGAATTAGTAATGTAAATCTCAGTTTGCATGGTTTTTAACAGTTTTCTTGTACAGCTCAAGCTGATAAAAAAAAGGTACCCTAATGACAGAATAGCAGCTTCCATGTCCAGCAGACGTCACGACAAAGGTCAAGGGTCGAAGCTTTGCGGATAACCGTGTGAACTCTGATTGAAGTCAATCAAAGAATTTCGGTAATATTTCATTTTATACATTGTAATTTTCTGTATTCGTATGTTTTGTGATTTAATTAAGCTGTCTATCATTATATCTGTGATTCATGTGTTTCCCAAGTATTGTAAGACATGAATAATCGTAACGGAAGCGACGTAGACACACAGTCAACGTACGGAGCGGCCGGAGTCGGACTCGGCATTTTGGGTGGAGTGCATCATCATGACTTCAGATGCAGCGGCTGCTGCAGGGGAGGGCTTCCACAAATCCGACGGGCGTCCCTCCCTGCTGAGCGGTGCGCTGCGAGCTGCTCGCTGTTCGCTGTGTCTGTAAAATGAATGCAGAAGAAAGTTGAACTGAAGCTGTGTGAAGAAAGAATATGTTTTTTTTGGTGTTGGTTGCGTGTTTTGTTTTATTAGAATCGCGCAGAAGTACCTTCAGAGTTCACAAGTGGACTGTTCTTTCTTCTCGTTGAGTCTCAGCTGATCCACACTTTGAAATCGGTTGAGAACTTGCCCACTTCACTTGCCCACAAGAATTAAGAATTTAAAAATGTGGAAATTTGTTTCTGGATAGCGGTTTGTTTACCACAATACATAGACTATACCAGTTGTACCTCCACGCATGTGCTCCTGATGATAATGACCTAAAAATGTGATTTACAGTACAATACAAATGCAAGCACACTGCCACAAAGGCAAGTACATGTACATGTAGACCGAATTTTCCGTCTCTTTCGTTCGTTAGCCTCTTATTGGGGTAGGGTCGGCTCTCTCTTTAGAGACCGAAACAGACTATCCCGCGAAATGTGTAGGGTTATGTGGGCAAATCAGCACACCAAACTTGCAAAACTTATCCCCGAATTACTCCTTTCACAGGATGCATAGCCGATGCATTTTATATTGTAAATTAGATTAAAACTTAACTACTTCGGTTCCACTTACCAACTTGACTGAAATAATCCGTTTAATGGTCCATTTTTAAGAAATTATGGGTCAAAATTGATATCCATGATAAAAATCTTGCAGCGGGCGTTTAAACTCTTGCTGCGCATGACGTCATCTAAATCTCATCTCTTTTAGTCTACGCCAAAGGCAAAATGATTATAACGGAAAAACTGTGCATGTCATTACGAACTCGTCGCTCATGGCCAAACTCTGTGTATAGATGGCTCTGATGTAAATCGCATGTTTGCCCATTATCATCATGGACACAGATGGCAAGCAAAGCTACAAAGGTTGTTTGCAAGGTCTGTCGAGGAGGAATGGGCAATTACACTGTTAAGGGTTTGTTGGTATTAAACATCACTCTTCATGCAAAGGAATGCCAATTATGGATTGTTGTTATCAGTGCCATACTTTATTATTACCAACCTGTAGCCCTAAGGCTATTCTTGACTTAGCTGTGAATGCAAATAAGACCCCAAATCAGGCAAAGCACAAATTTATTGATACAAAAATGGAAACAAAATTGTTGAGTGTATGATTTCAAGTGTGATTACATCTATAAATGTCAATTTTATCAACTAATTTTTTTTACAAGGAACTTGTAACAGAGATATGATTATTTGAAGAAAAAAAACATGGAAAAAGTGTCAACATGGAAATGGGATGCATGACATACATGTAGCAAGTAAACTGTTTTTTAATGAATGTAATTTCATAAATGTTTTTGCTGGCTTACACATGGCCTCTCAAAGCAATCTTTAACTTAATTTTATGCACATTTACATGAAGGATAATTCTCATTACCGGTATTACTGTTAACCAGTTTCTCTTGAAACAAAGTTTCATCGCTACAACTTAAACTTAACTTATTGCCTATAACAGGAACCAGGTGATGTATTAAGCCTATGGGAATTAGAAAATTCAGTTAAATCAATGAGTTATGATTGGATTATTCACAAAGAAAATCATTGTCATCTTTTTTCCTTTGGTACAGATTTGGTATTGGTATTCATTCTCCTAACACAATGGGGAATAAGCATTCATGTAGCTGCTTACGAAGCTGTCACAAGAACCCAACCAGACGGGCACACAGGACATCTTCACAAGAAATAGAGCGATATGAACCGTCCCCTGAAGATATTGATGTGGATGAGAGATCCAATCTCCAGCACATTGGTGACAGAGAGACAGGAATTGAAGGTAAATAGCATCACAGGTTTGAAATTTGCATAGTTTATTTGTGTTTAAGGTAGTGTAAACCATTTGACAAATGGAAGTCACGCCGTAAGCAGGCTGTATTCTTATAAGTGGAAAGACCATGACCTAAAGACAAATGTATAGTGAAATGATTTATAGAGTTTAACATTGACCTCTCCATTTCTTACAAACTATTGTGGTTTTGTCACAAAAATATTGATGTAATGTAACATTAAGAAATCATATCATGATGACATCATTTTTGTTTGCTCATGGAGTTATAGAATTGTTGTAATGTATCCCATGCCCCACAAACTTTCATTTCATTTTTCAATTCTTTTTTGTTGTTTTTTCTTAATGAAAGAGGAAGGGTATTTAGAGCTTAAAATTAAGATCACGGAGGGCTGAATGTTTTTTGTACAGTATATGAAAATACAATTTGTCAAAAGAGGGCCAAAATTTTGAAATGCAAATGGACATCCTCTGGTCATGTTCCATTGGCAGCCTTCTGCTGGGCAGATAACAAAATGTTTATAAAAAACACATATTACTACAAGTATCTCACTCTGGGAACTTCGAGTGAGAACATGAAATCTCTGTTCCCTTTTACATTCTTGAACTTGCTCTTTAACTCATTCAATACCCATGGCATTTTTCAGAACACTACGTGTCATCTACATGTACATGTATTATGTACATGTACCTGTATCGCATAATTGACCCCTAGTATCGAATAGGTTAATGCTAACACTGATGAGCACTCAGTGTGGAGACTGTGCAGCCAAGCAGAGGAGCTAATGCAGTCATTAGGCTTTGAAGTAGGGACGTCTCTATTCCCACAGCTTGCTCATTATAGCACATAGAGAAAGATCGAGAAAGCTAGTGATTATGTCACATGTGTTGTAATAATGTACCAGTAGAATGAAAAGATTGTATCTACAGTGTAGGCTGCTATCTCGCATTTTGTTTGTACCGTATGTACATGTATAACATTTTTGTTAAGCTTGAAAACGGATTTTGAAAATCCCAATACCTACAATGTACAGGGTACATAAACTACGCACCTTTCTAATAATTCCAACAGATCTTTAGTCAAAATTTCCTACCATTCCGCTCTTTTTTTTTCTCCAGAAAAATTGGGGTTCGAAATAATACTTAATGCGGTTTTATAATTTTCAGAAGGTGTGCTTTGTGCTTTTTTTTTGAGGAGGCAGTGTGAAATCATCACAATAGCTGACTTTGCCTTTGATCGAAGCAATATATCTATTTTGGAATTTCAAGTTTAATGAATTTGGTACTACATGTAGTATACATGTTCTTCTCCTCAATTTAAATACTAGATTTATGAATTGTATAAATACTATACATACATGATATAGCTTAAAGGGATAGTTGAGTTCTGTTTTCAGACCGCAAATCCCTTCACAGTCCATGGTTATTGCTCTTATTCTTATCTATTAAATTTCTAGTGCCCTTTGAGAACATAAAATTGCTACATTTATGAAGGTAATTTTAGACCCCAAAATGTGTGAAATTTAGCCAATACGATCATACCTATTCTGCTCCACTTTCAAAAAAATGTGGTGACCGTTAATTAATTATTTAATTCAAAATAGCAATATATGGGCTGGCTGGTTGTGCGTAATATAACCAAAACGAAAATGCCAACAAAAAAGCCAACATCGGCATTGGCTAAAATACAACGTACATGTAAAAGGCGCTATTTCGTTTTTTCAAGAGCTTTTTCAAATTATCTAATATTTGTGGTGGTACACAAGTATTAGAAATTGTTATATTTGGATATTTCAGCCGTCTCTGAACCGATTTTGATCAAGCAAAGATGATTTGTCATTAAAATTGTATGTTCTTTCAAATTTGACACTCAGTTTTTCATTAGGTCACAAAACTTATTTTGCGTAGCGCCCTCTGCAACAGAACTTGATTTTCCCTTTAAATACATACTGTACATGTATACCGGTAGCTAAATTTAAATAACTCAGAATTTTATGAATGTGACCTGGGCTTTAATTAGGCCGTTAGTATCCTTGAAAATACATTTTTATGACATGAACATTTACAAAAAGAATATCCATGTAAGAACTGTGATGACTCTGCTGGTTAGGGATATTGAATATCATTTCCTTATCATTGTTATAATTTTTCAGTCATTGATGTCAGTTTGGTCTCAGTTCAAAACGACATGGTTTGGTAATACTGCAGAACGGAACAATATGGTTTGGTTAAATGTTTGCCCTAAACTTGTAAGACTCCTAGTCTTCTACATGTATAATGTCTGTAGCTCACATCAAGATTGTTCTGTATGGGTTGGGAATTATTGAGCTAGAAGGAAACCTACATGTAAGTCTTGAGTTAATTTTCTAAGATGAGATATACATGTGCCTGTAAGAACTGTATTAAATTCAATTAAAAAGAAGTAAAACATGACAGTTTTTCAGATCCAATCTGAATCTCAAAAAAATATAGGTATGGCTAACAGACTTGAAACTGTAGGCCAACACTATACATTTGGTCCATTTTGGAAGTTTGTTAATTTGAATGATGACAAATTTCAATTAATAATAATAATAATAATAATAATAAAAACGGCGCTTATAAAAGCGCTTACCACCGAAGTCTCTAACTGCTATTAAGGTTCATCCTATTGATTCCTACAGCACAACATACAGTAAATCTAAATGTACTGTAGTATTGGTGCAAACTGCAAATCTGTATCACACATTTAAGCATCTACATGTATGTACATTGTACATGTACATAGATTACAAATCTGCATTAAAAACAATCAATTGAAAGGTACGCCTACTGATTGATCAGCTGTCTGACATTTGCATTGCTTTGTTTTTATAATCAATAATTCATCACATTGGCTTGCTTTAAAGGCCAAGCTTAGGTTCTGGGTACAGATTTATATTTTCAAGAAAAATTGGGTGTTAAGTGCATTTTCAGTAATGACATGTAACATGTGCTTGTCCATGATCATATGCATTAGCCTACATGTAGATGTTTGTTTTGATCTGTTATTGAAGACAGTGTACTTTTCAGTATAATTTGTTGTAAATTGAATTTTCTTTATTACAGCTCATAGTACATGTACAGTTAGTATGTTGATACACCCTGTACATGTACATCTACACATTGTACATGCATATAGTGTCAATATGTCCAGCATAATTTTCTTGTCTTTTTGTTTGTTGTTGGTCATATCTTCAACCATTAGGCCTGTGCAGCCTATATATATTAACTGTATTGTAGAAAATTTGTTATTTGTAGTCTTGAAATTGAACGTTTAGTTTGAGTTTGTTTGAAGTCATTGAGAATTTATTTGTAGTTGTTACTAGAAATCTAGATACCTCTAATACACCATACAACTTAACTCCAAACTGACCAACTCTTGGCCTGTCAAGGTAATATAATTTTCGCTCTTGTATTAGTCCTGTTGGTGTCACTAAGGTATAAATAATACTAATAATAATACATTACATGTATATTTCTATAGCGCTTATTATAATGTTTCTAAGCGCTTTACAAAGTTGGCAATACTTAGATATTAATACATTCAATATCATATTTACATAATATACTAATCAACCTACAATTAATTCAAAATACATAAGCACAGAAACATCTAATCAATACATATAAATAAAATAGAATATACATAGTATATAAAGCAAGAAGACAAGATAAGATGTGCGGAGTACTTAGTCTTGAGGAGGATACGTTTCATCATGTCATTGGTATTTTTGGAATGTTTGTTGAGCAATAGAGCTGTCACACGGCACACAAACAAGTTCTGTGTACAGTATATATTGAAGTGTACTGAACTTTTCTTAGGTTCATATCAAGATATTGTTTAGTTTGCCTGCATGCACAAACCCTTGTCAGGCGTTGTGCAACAGTGTCTGCATTATGAGACTACTCTAGGCTACTATATAGCTGCTCCTGGCAAGATTTGACACAGGCAGTAACTGAGAGATCTAGGCTCTGCTCAAGGCTTTAGGAATTTTGTGTTTAAGTGTCAAATTGGAGTCTGTGCTTGCAGACTATTCACAGTTGGGGAAGAGATAGGTTGAATTTACCGGTACACACAATTTGCTTTTTTCCATTCTTTTTCTATTCTTTTTCTGCTGCCTTTCATGAACCAGAATATTAATACCTGTAATATGTTTATAATATAGGTTACAATCATGTATTTAAGCATTTGCACATTGATAAATTATGCTTTTTTGATTTAGTTTACCCCCCCCCCCCCCATGAAAACAAAAAAAAGAAAAACAAAAATAGTGTTTATGGCTACCGTTATTAACATTGTATAAACCGCCCTCGTGTATTAACTGCCCTCGTGTATTAACCGCATCCCTCTTTTTCGCCCTAAAAAACAAATAAAAACATTTTTTTTTTTGGGGGGGGGGGGCGTCAGCAGCAAGCCAGGTCCGTGTTAAAACCCACGCGGGAAGGCCTTTCATTTAACTGCGAGGTGCAGTTGAATGTGTAAGATCATTAATGTAAATTAAAAAACAGTAGAGGACCTAGGAGGCTAGGATAGAACCTTGTGGTACGCCGTGTAATAGAAGAAAAATTAGAGGAATTATCATTATAAACTACATATTGAGATCTATCAGAAAGATTACTTTCAAACCAAGATGACAGACAAATTTGAGTGTTCTAGTTTCCGAGTGGTGAGTCAACACACCAATTACTGAGCTGGGAGACATTGCCAGGCATAGCGCCAGGTTTTTTTTTTTGTACCTGTGTATAAGACGCACCCCCGACTTTGATTTTTTTTTGGCGGCAAAAATGTGCGGTTAATATAACTTTAATTACGATATGCATAAGTGTACATCTGTGTCTAGTGTTCATTTTTTTTTTTCATTTCACAGACAATGTATGCAGTACAATTTGTTCTTGTCCATTGCATTCTGTACTTTTGTATGGCTTTGTTCTATTCAGAGTCTGAACCTTCTATGGATTTATTAGAACACCCATGCATCATTAAACAAACCTAGACGATAAGACATTATGATTTAGGCATGAGTCATTACTCTTTCATTCCCATGTCACAATCTAAAGCTAATCTTAAGTTCTGGTAATGAAATGAATAGGAAACTGTTATAAAGTATTGACTTAATTGCATGTTATTGCTGTAGTTAGTACGTAGTCAAGTATGGTATTGATTCTTTAGACTGTCACCAAATTGATATTACATTTAAGTAGAAACTTTAACATACATGTACATGTAGGAAATGACATTTACTGTACTGAAAAGCACAGGACAGATGTGGCCATATGGATAATGGAACCATATGGGACTATATGTTGTAGTTGTTGATTCATGCATGGTCAACTGAATCAGCTGAGAGCCAGAAGGGCATTAACTCTATGCAGAGACTAACTGTATCTCTGCTCTATGGGAAGTGGTACTGTTTCAAAGTTAATGCCCTTTAGACTATCAGCAGATGAGTCTACTACGATACATTACATTGTACATCAGTTTGCATGATTTCCTTCAAATCATATCTCCATGTTCAAATGTTCCCAAATTCAGGTAATTCTGTGCTATGCGCTCCACATGACAAATGTCTTTTTTTGTTGACCATGTACATGTATCATCGATGATTGAATAATGGTGCTTTCTGGTATCACTACCATTAGCCATAGTCATACAGTATTATTAAGAGATTGTTTTTTTTATTGATGAAATGTACATGTATGGATAAATGCCATATGTTGTATGGAACCATTGCATGCCTGCACAGAGCCACCCTATTTAATATGAATTTTTTTAAATAACCAAATTCACTTATCAGAAGGTAACCAAGGCTTGGATATCTGTTGAAGTTTTGTTTGATTTGTAAGAATTAATTTCCAGAACTCAAGATTACTTAATATAATATTTGAATTATTCACCTTCAGCATGCAATAATGATATATATTTTTTCCTTTTCTCTTTTCCAGAGGATGTGTTGGATCCATCTGTACACCCGAGAACGAGCACCATTTTCCTCACCAAAGCAGAGTCATTAGGTAGGAACAAATTTCTGATTTGTATTAGGATAATTTTGATTACATGTGATTATAATATTTCCACCTTTAAAAAAAAACAAACTTGAAAGGCGTAATTTGAAGGAACAAAATGTGATTTAAAAAAAAGGGGATAATATTGCTGTATAGTAAAGTTATAACCAAGTTAGGGGTAATGTAAATTAATTGTTAATACTAGATGTGCACAGTTTTTAAAAATAAATCTGCCATGTATCACACAGTGAATCAGCAAATAAGTAAACTGCCTACGAGTACTTACATTACATACTGTATAGACTAACTTATCATTAGATTGAGTAGAGGCCCAGTTTGGTGTTATGCACATATAATAATAATAATAATAATAATAATAATAATAGTCTAATAGTCCACTCCAATATTTAGTAGAGCTATGTTCTAATTACATTGTACATGTATCATCAACTTGCAGAACTTTTGCAGAGTATACTGTACATGTAGTTAGTCAGAGCTTCGAAATCTTCAAGTTCTGATCTTGTACTAATCTTACTACTGTATTTCTGTGATCAAACAACATTTTTTCTTATATTCTTTATTACTCTTCTTGATCTTCAAAAGACGTTGTAATGATGCTTTACCAATGGAGTCCTGCATTCTCTCATTCCCATGGCTTAGAAGAAGAAAAAGACCCATCAGGGCCCTGTTTCATCAATTTCATCAATAACAAATGTCACATTTCTATAATGAATGCTCACAGCCAATCAAATGCAACAATTTCAGTAGCTTATAACAGTTTTTGTGACTTGTTGTTGATGACAAGTTCGATGAAATATGTTGACACTTACTGTTCTGTACATCAGTGGACTAAAGCTATCCACTTAAACCTGGATCAAAGTTAGGAAGTTTTTATGAATACCAACCCAATACATTGTGTTTTTTTTAATTTGATTTTTTTCTCTTGATGTGATACAGAGGTAACACAAGACAGAAGAAACCACCACAATGACAGCAGGCTGAGTTCAGTCAGTAAGAAGTTCAGTTCATGTTCAACCATCTTTCTAGATGACAGCACAGTATCACAACCGAACCTCAAGTCTACGATACGATGGTGAGAAAGATGAGAGCAAGAAACCTATCACCTGCTGAGAGCTAGAAGGGTGTTCACTCATAGCAGTTATTACAGAGTTTGCATCATTCTTGCTCTCAACAGACTAAGTACTGTAAATCTCCATGTACATGTATAAGACGCACCTGTGTATATTAAAGACGCACCCCTATTTTGGGGGCCATTACAAAAACAAACACAATTTTTTTTTTTTTTTTTGCTGACTCTGTAGGCAGCAAGCCACAAAAATCCAGGTGGAGAAGGACCTCTATTTTACTGTGAGGTGCAGTTGAAGGCGTCAATTTGTGCTTGTGAATTTGTGTAGTTTTTTATTGTTGTTGTTTTTTTTTTTGTACCTGTTTATAAGACGCATCTCGACTTTTGATAATTTTTTTTGGCGGGAGAAAAGTGTGTCTTATACACATAGATTTACGGTATACTGTGCTAGTTAAAGATTGTCAAAGTTGCATTTAGAAATTGTCAGAATGATTGGAACACATTGTACAGAATAATGCTAGCTCATGTATGATTTAGATCTAAATCTAAGATTTTGAAGATATTCAAAGGAAAAAAAAACGTATTGGTTTAGGGTCTGAGTTTCTTCTGATAACATTTGTACAGTTATTCAAATTAGTTGTTTTCAATATATCCAGGAAATATTCAAGCAATTCAAGTGCTCAAATGGTAGACTAGTTGAGGGTCATTCCATGTCAAATCACCCAAAAAATCTGAAAATCTTAACCCGACCATTTTTGATTTTGATGAAACTTAGTGTACTTGTTAAGTGTGATCTCACAGCACCAAATCCAAAATTTTAGGTCAATTGGGTGAGGGGTTTGGGAGATACGGCCAACCAAATTTTGAGATATTTGCAAAAATAGGGATGGCGGGCCTACCTTTGAACCCTTGTATCTCGGGACCTAATGGGTCAATCTTCACAAAATTTGTACTGTTGGAAAGGGTATTCAATAAGGATTCCAAATCTGCCGCCATTTTGAAAATTTGTATATGTTGGGGTACTTTGACCTCTTGACCTAAGATTTGACCTTGAAATTGACCTTGTGGATCACGTAACCTTGACAACATTTTTCATGAAATGCAATCTCTGACATGTTCACTTAAACATATAAAAGTTTCAGAGATATAATATTTTTTGTTTAGGAGCAATAAGGATTGAAAGTATCCGTACTTACAGATATTCACAATAAACCCTATTATAATGTATACAATACATGCAATATGCACAGTACAACATACATCTTCCACATGCTTTTTTGTTCTAGTCATACCCATTCTAAATGTCAGCAGTATTTGAATAGAAATAAAATGACAAGTTCATATAGGCCTGAAGGGTTAACAGGATGTAAGACTTTAGGCCTCTGAGTCGGTTCTAGGATAATTACCCCCCCCCCCCCCCCCCCCCCCAAGGACAATTACCTCCGAGGACTATCACACCCAGAGGACAATTAACCCCAGAAAATTACCTCCTAGGACAATCTATCCCCCCCCAAGGACAATTACCCCCCCCTGGAAAATTACCCCCCAAGGATAATTACCTCCCCCCAAAAAAAAATCTGCTTTGATTAAAACCAACTTATTATCAGGATGGACTTCCCCTTTAACGAATAAGGGGGGGGGGGGGTAATTGTCAGGGGGGTAATGTGCTCGGAGGGGGGGGGGTGGACAGATTGTCCTAGAAGGTAATTTTCTGGGAGTAATTGTCCTATGGGTGTGATAGTCCTCAGGGGTAATTTTCCTCCGGGGGGGGGGGGGGGGGGGGGGGGGGGGGGGGGGGGGGGGGGGGGGGGGGGGGGGGGGGGGGGGGGGTAATTATCCTAGAACCGACTCAGAGGCCTAAAGCCATACATCCTGTTAACCCTTTAGGCCTATATGAACTTAGAATGGATATGCCTAGAACAAAAAAGCATGTTGAAGATGTACATGTATGTTGTACTGTGCATATTGCATGTATTGTATACATTATAATAGGGTTTATTGTGAATATCTGTAAGTACGGATACTTTCAATCCTTATTGCTCCTAAACAAAAAATATTATATCTCTGAAACTTTTATATGTTTTAGTGAACATGTCAGAGATTGCATTTCATGAAAAATGTTGTCAAGGTTACGTGATCCACAAGGTCAATTTCAAGGTCAAATCTTAGGTCAAGAGGTCAAAGTACCCCAACATATACAAATTTTCAAAATGGCGGCAGATTTGGAATCCTTATTGAATACCCTTTCCAACAATACAAATTTTGTGAAGATTGACCAATTAGGTCCCGAAATACAAGGGTTTAAAGGTAGGCCCGCCACCCCCATTTTTGAAAAAATCTCAAAATTTGGTGGGCCGTATCTCCCAGACCCCTCACCCGATTGACCTAAAATTTGGGATTTGGTGCTGTGAGATCACACTCAACAAGTACACACAGTTTCATCAAAATCAAAAATGGTCGGGTTAAAACCATTGGGTGATTTGACATGGAATGACCCTTGAATGATAATTGTACCCGGTAAGTCGATGAGAAAGTAAAACGGTGAATAAAATGATAATTTGAGGATTGAAAACAGTGCATCTTTATTTACCACTTGACCTATAGCGAGGTGTAAGTGAATGTCTCTGTAAGAATGGCAGTAAACAGTAATTGGTCAAATTAATTATGCTGGTACAAAAGCCAGATTGTAAGTACTGTACAATGCTATGCTTCCAAAGAGTTACATAACTCTTTGAATAATATCTATAAATATATGTCCAACAAATTAATCTCATATATACATGTACATGTAATGTATGTTGCATCCTTGTTCCAGGTATTTACCACTGTACTTTTTATCTTCACATTTATATTCAGTGTGGCATTGGCAATATACTACCATATAAAGAATAGAGACAGTAGCAGACAAATGGATATCTTTGATGAAAAGCAGTACCCACTATCAGTAAGTATACTTTCTGATGCACAAAATAGAAGAAGGAGAAGGAGAAAGAGAGGAGAAGGAGAAGGAGAAGGAGAAGGAGAAGGAGAAGGAGAAGGAGAAGGAGAAGGAGAAGGAGAAAAGAAGAAGGAAGAAAAAAGAAGAAAGAAGAGGTGGATAACCAAAAGAAGATCTGACATGCCAATTAAGTGTAAACTGCACTTTATATCTGCGGCAGTAATTTTTTCTCATCCATTTTTCATGAGATCTTGACTGTTTGCTTGCATTATGCTTCTTTTTCCAGTAATTGGAATGTAAACATTTTAAATTAAAAACAACCAGCATAAAAATTCATGTACTTTCTATCCAAACCTAAGTTTTGTTAAAAGGCACTTTGCAAATACAAAATCACTTCTGCTGTCCACTCCATATCAAAGATGTTTTCTATGCTTATCATTTCCTGGTATAAAAGTATTGCGTTTCTAAGCTAGTGTCTATCAACCCTTCAAGAAAACAACTTAATTACCATGCTAATTGTTATTGATACAGGTTTCATAAGTTAATTCCTGTGTATAATGAATTCATCTTAATTTGCTGACCTAAAAAACAGAGTTCCCCTCTGAAGTCTCGTTCAGATATGACGTGGAAAAACCGCTGGTTTAGAACTCGTATCCTACACACTACTGCACCACACGCACACTGTCTGCGTAACGTGTCATAGGCTTCACATTTTTTGTATCTTATAACACAAAGCTCAGTGAATACACTCACAGGACCTTTGCCATTCATTTATATGTAACAAGAGTGCGGCGGCTCTTTTTGGTGGCTGTTTACTCAACCATATATGAACAGCCCTTGACAGTTCCATTCACTTTCTCTTCCTTGTCAAGGATATAAACCATATTGTCAAGTTGGGACAAAGATGGGGTCATATTGATGATTACGATTATTGATATGATTGTTTTGTTACTCACTATTCAGTATTCAATATGAAGTGAAACCCTAGATATCCGTATTGTTTGGACTGTATATTCCACACACATTCTACAAATGACCAAAGTTGACTGTAGGACATGTTTTTTTTTTCATTAGTCTACCGGTATTTAAGTGCAGGAAAGTGTTTTTTGTTTTTTACAGAGTGATGTATCGATAATAACCTGAATTTTCTTGCTAATTTTTGTTTTAATTCTTTCACAATGTGCAGAAAACTCCAGTACCAGAGGATTACGACAAACACAATCCAGAACACAGGCATATCTACAAGTTTATTCGCATGTTATTCAATGCAGCTCAGCTCACAGCAGAATGTGCAATAGTTACATTAGTAAGTATGAAGGTCTACAAGTTTCAACAAACGGATTCTGGAAATATTATGTAATAGTTGGATTGATAACTTGCTCATCCTTGTAGATTTATACATGAAGATGTAGGATGAAACTTTTTTTCATAAGTAGTCAGATTTTTAATTTTACATTCCAAATATTGTTTTTCTTCATTCATATATAAGGATTCTAATATTTATAATATTCCTGTTCAAGGAAAGTTAGGTTTTATGTGCACTTACTGACTTTAATAGGTGTGTTCTAAATGTGTCAGTATAACAAATTGGGTTCATTTAAAGATTGATAAAAATGTATGAAATATTGGTCAACATGCCTGCAGAATGCATACCGTATTTCAAAACTCGTAAGGCTGATTGGGCTAAAACTTACAATTTAAGCTTTGAAATCCTCAATCGCCCTGCAATCCAAAAATTAGCTAATTTAAAAGGGGGTAGAGTTTAACCGATGAGGTGATCTGGCAAATTATTGCCCATTATTACACTTAAATAAAAAAAAATTATATATATATTGATTTTTCTTTGCAGGTGTATTTAGAGAGATTATTAACATATGCTGAAATCAACATCACGCCTAGCAACTGGAAACGAATGGTCCTTGGTGCTATCCTCCTAGCTTCCAAAGTATGGGATGACCAAGCAGTCTGGAATGTAGACTACTGTCAAATTCTAAGAGAATTAACAGTAGAAGATATGTGAGTATCAAACTTTAAAATTGTAAGGGAATTGCAACAATTTAAATTTGTGGTAACTGATAGCTCTGTGTGGAAGCTCTTATGAAATTTAGGTTTAATCTAATGAATTTTGTATTTGATTGTGTTTACTTCTGAGAGCTTGTGGTGGCTTTCCAGAACTGGGAAATTCCTGTGTATTGATATTTTAAAGCTGAGGCTTAATGAATAGATGCTGTTGATAAATCTATTTTACAAAAGTAATTGCCACTAATACCTTTAAAAAAAAAATTAATTTACATTTGCCACTCTCCACCTTGGTGATGTGATTGGATTTTTCTTCTCCAGTCACCAGGCCACAATGTTCACTCTTAATTAGATTGTCCTAATCCAGTGTTGGATGCATTGTATTGCACAGCGGCAGGGGGTGAATCCTTCCAGATCTTCTTGGTGCAAGGGAATGGGTAATTGGGAGGAATAAATTCTTTTAGTGCTTGGGTGCCATATCATGGTAGCCAGTCTACAGCCTTAGTATTGAAAATGTTAATGTAGGGCACTCAAGAAAAGTGATATCAATACTGATGTGGCTACCCTTGGTAATAAGACCTGATTATATATTATCACTACCTGTATGGTAGATCAATAGACCAGTTCGTAGTTAGCTTTGGTATGTATGACCTCCAAATATTCACAGATCATTTACACATGGAGATGTCCCACTGTGCACATTTTAGAATAATCACTTTACTCTGTAGCTCTCCAGCAAGCAAGCTCTAATATTAAAAAGAAAACACAAATGAATGAAAACATAAACAAAAAGTGTCAAAATATTTTAAAGACAATAATGGATGGATTATAGGACACTGACATGTAAATCAAGCAAGACACACTTCATACTTGCAAATTTTCGCAAGGAGGCTTGCCTATGTCATCGATTTGGTTTTGGATTAGATTAGATCACAACCACACTCACCGAATGACACGTTAATACACTTTTTTGATTGGGAAAAACATGAATAGACTTCATGTATTAATACACTAAGAGCGAGTGACATACCGGTACATACATTCTACAGTCAAAATAAATCTACTGTATACATAGGTACTCATCGGATAAAGGTCTTGTACTGAAATTGGGCAAAATCTTAATCATGGAAACACAAGAAAGTTGTCACTTCCGTTTTGTTAGGCTTAAAAAAAGTACCTAGACCATGTTGTACTCAACTGTGTAATATCCCTTGTCTTCCAGGAATGAATTGGAACGACAGTTCCTAGAACTTCTTCAATTCAACATCAACGTGTCAGCCAGTGTATATGCTAAGTACTACTTTGACCTCCGAGAACTCGCTGACACCCACGAACTTGCCTTCCCACTCGAACCACTCAGTACAGAAAGAGCCCTGAAACTAGAGGTAAGGAAATATTTTAAGGATTACTTTAGATTATAAAAGGGTTCTAGAATGTAGGCAATCTAATTGGTCCTATGACACCATATGACCATCCATCATTCTTTCCAATAATGCATTCCGTGCAAAAAAGTTCATCATCAAAAAGGGATAACCCACGGCTAAAGAAGATAATGCAAGGCAAAGATGCTTGTATGCTTGTCTCTGGTGCGTACAAAAATTAAGACTTGATAAAATGTGTGTAGTTTCATATAGCAATGAAAGTGATGCGCATGCTGAGAAGCGCAGATACTGTTTGTATGTACTTATGTACTGTCATTCAAATCAAATCACGTCCCCTTGACTGTACAAATCTAGGAATTTTGATTGAGTTTGTTGCTTATTTCTCAACTTTGCATTAATCTTGTTGACCGTTTTATAAAACAAATAACTCACATTAGTCAACTGTTGTCATCGATAAGTTTGTTTTACACTATCATTTGCCTATTTCTCAACTTTACATCAATATTGTTGAACCATTTTATAAAACATATAAGTCACGTTTTGAAGCTCTTGCATTTGTCAACTGTTGTTGTTGATGTGTTTGTTTGTTTTACATTATCATTTCATGGGATAAAGAAGAATTTTAAAATGGCAAATATCCCTGTCTCAGACAATGTGTTTTACTGGACTATAGAGGGAGACACATCATGATGACAAAGAAGTTACATTGATCACAACTTCCATACAGACATAGTACCAGCATATTTTGTAGTTACGTATACATGTATATGGCATTGGAGCTTGCATTTCTTTGTCTGTTTGGTTTGATTGTATTTGTATTTGTTCTAACACTATATACATATGATGTATTTGGGCATAGTGTACAGTATGTAACTGACATTTAAAGTCTTATTTAGCTACATGTAGATATCTTGTTTGGGGCAAGGTTTAATATGGGGGCTTTGTATTTATGACTTTATTACACTTATTTGCACTGTTTTGCAGGCATGCAATGTCAAGATTTCATTTATATTCATATTCTTCTTGACTTCTTCAAAAGAATTTCATATTTCAATACATATTGCCCCTTTTATTGTATACACTGAAGATTCAAATCTCCTTTTCTTATTTTTTTTATGTTAGATTGTGTTCATTTAAGAAGAAAAACTATGATTTAGATCGTGATAGGTCAGTAAATGGGACAAGCCCAGAGATGTCCCATGCAAATTATATTATCCTGAAGATCTTGTTTTTTTTTTTATGACCGTCTTTTTCAATGTAAAAGGTGTAGTAAAGTCTTATTTGATAGTTAGACTACCTATTTATTACTTTTTCAATGACATTTTTCAAAGAAACTCACAGAGTTTTGAGCATATACTTTAATTTTCAGATAATCTAATTTTTCTTTGTCCCGTAGGACATACATGTCTGATAAATTTAGTTCTGTCTTGTCAAGAAAGGACAATTTATAGTTGGTTCAATTTAGTTGTCGCATCTAAAAATGATCTTCTTATGACCCCCTGTACTTAGTCCTTTACTACGGCATAACACAAATCTTCACTGCTGATTCCTTTACTTGCAAGGCTAGGAAATGTTGTCTAAATGCCATGTACAGTATATTGTATGACGTAAATGGAATCCCCCTTTTAATATTTGTGAGGTCAGTATAACTTCTGTTGATGGCTATAAAATTCAAGCTTTTGAAATAGGAGAAGAAGGAAGTAGACTCCTTTTGTAAAGTGAAACAAAGTTTGTAATACTATGAGGTTTCATTTTCAGTATAAGAAGTATTTATCAATCGATTCTTAAATCCTGTTTCAGTTTACAATATGTGGGTGTTTATCTTATCTTATGATTACATCGTGAAAATATTACTAACAGGAATCTTATTACAAGGTTGATCTAGCTACATGTAGTGTATGCCACTATACAACCCAAATTAACAAATTGTAATGCAATGTACAGGTAATGGAAACTTAGATATATTTTTGTTTGTAGTATAATTCTTTTTATAGCTTTTTAATGTCGATGTCGATGTCTCAACTTCATAATTGGTTATAAATGCTTGTAGAAATGCCGCAATTAATTATGAAGATGTTAATGATATGTCAATTATAGAAGAAAAATAATAACTATTGATTTCACATACATATATGTATATCATGGCCATTCCTGATGGTGATGTGACACACCATATGAAGCATGCTATATTTATTAAAGAAGAAAAGTTTCCTGACTACCTTTGGGTTTATTCAGGGTTCCCAGTTATCCTAGACATCAAAGAAAACCTGGAAAATGAATGCCTCTTTGTTCCAGTCATTGAAAAATCTGGAACTTTGAGAAAAATTACTCCAGTCAAGGACAAATCAGGGAATTTCATCATCTTAAAAAGGAAGTAGTCAGTCTCTTCTATTTGGACCCATGTCCACAAGGCTTATCACCTGGATGATTAGCTATGGTGCCTTTTAATGTATATTATGAAATGCATGAGTGAAATGAAAACCTACCATGTTTCAATGAAATTGAATGTGATGCAGACTCATCCATGAAACTGTTTCCTGGGCCCTCTTCAACAGGTATTCTCCAAACCAACTGATGACAAGCCTAGAGACTTCCCACCCCACACCAGTGTAAAGAGATCACGGAGTGCAGACAGTATCCAAGTAGTGCCTCGATTCTCAAACGCCATCATCTCATGATGAAGGCTTGCATCTCACGGAGTCTGTCATCATGGCGATTGGCGTCGTCATCACATGATCAGCTTGGCCATCATCTGATGAGTTCTGTCATCATGCTGTGATCGGCAATGGTGGCGGTGTCCAGTGAAGAGCGCCCTCATTCATCGTTGAGCGCTATCATCCTTGTGAAGTGAGTCCTCTTTGAGTGAAGACGACTGTCGTCTTGAGACAGAGGCCTTCAGCTCATCGTGATATTTGATATATGATGAATGTCCATTTTTTTTAAATCAACGAACCAAAGCCAAATCTTTATTTATTTATGAATACAAATGGTAGCGCACCTCAGAGAATAGACTGCATGAAGCATAGATTATTTTTAAAAAAGGGACCAAAGATTTCCCTCATGTTTCATTTACTTACCATGAATCGGGTTCCATTTATCATTTGCAAGGTTCACGTAAAAGTCTGTAATCTTAATTTCAGCTAGTGGTTTTGTGTGATGTTGTGATGAAGGTCTGAATTGTCAGACACACTTTGACGCAATTAACTTCAAGGTTTTTTGCCAGCTGTCGTTACAACGACTGCATGGTCATCTTGTAATTTGAAACTGGTTTGGAATTGATATGTAAATCTCTATGAACTGTTTAGACGAATGGTTTCTCACAGCAATCATTCATGTACATGCTGCATTTTGATATTCAGATTTTTAGTTACATAGTCTACAGAAACGAATGACATACATGTAGTTATGAATCATGAAGAGTAACATTTTGGTTGTACGACATATGCTCCGCCGACAATTGCTCTGCAGTCAATATTCATAACTGAGCAAATTCTAAACAGCAACACTTGACCTTACCCTCTCCTACCCCTACATCTATTCTAAAATTCTTTGCAACTCCAACCGGAACCCTCCATCTTAGAGGAACTATATCTAGAGCAGTTGTCGTTATAGCATTTGTTGGAGCCCCACTATTACGTGTAATATCTCCACCTCATCTTTGTAAAGTGGGAGGGTATCATTCTTTGTCAAGGCAATATTTCAGGCAGTGTTTAGTTTTCAGCGTTAAATTTGAATTCCATTCAAAAATATTTAGGTGTGAAATTCCTCTACCTCTTTGAATTCCCACCCTGTATATTGCATGTTTAGACTTATCCTGTCTCCTGTAACATCACATTTGTATGAAGTACTTCACCAAACACTGTATTTGTAAGTCCCTTTGAATTCTTCACTTCTATTTATTTATACATAGTACATGTAAGGTATGTTCTGGACATTGAAAGACCTCTTTGAAATGAGGTTTTCACCAGGTTTATTAAGATTAAGTGAAAAAAATCTCCTCTTGTTATTGTATCTTCACCACTTACACTCTATATTCACTGGACCATTTTCTCTGTATTCTTTGTTAACTGATGAAATTGGATCACTGCAGGAGACAAATGTATGTGTACACTTAATGTATCTATTGCACCTACTGCAAATCATTGGCAGTTGAAACAGAATTTTGTCAATTTTCAAAGAAACTAAATCTTCAATTTAAACCAGTGCTTATTAAGAGCCTGCTTGGACTATATGAAATTTATACAAAACTTGTATGAAGAAACGTAACATAAAGAATCATTGTGTAGGGAAGGAATGTGAAGACTAGAAAACAACAGCATTTAAAGAAACTGGTTTTGAAGAGGTGAGTTGACAGGACGTCTGGCCAATTATCATAACGTGATCACGATAAGCCCTGCCCGCTTATACCACTTTTGTATGATAAGACATTCAGAGTATAACAGACTCTGATTCTTTATCACGGTTTCTTTCGAGCTGATACACGAACATGTGTTTCACTCTACAGCATTTTGTTCAGCAATGTTTCTTTATACAATGTACAGACTAGGCAAAAAGTAATAAATTATCGCGTATAATTATTGTATACATGTAGCTATGCAATGAATTCTGATGGTTTATGTGATATCTGTGGCATTCATTCAAGACTTCCTATGCTGCATAGCTGTCAAAGCTATTGCCAAATGCATGATATTATATGTACAATTTTCATGAATTGTCCAAATTTCTACATTTTATTTATTAGTTGTCACAGCAACTGAAGAATCTGACTGTATATCAGCAAGTTTTAGAACTAAGAAATTTAAACAAATTTCAAATATCTGTGTATGTCACAATGCCTGCAAGTCAATACACTGTACATACTTTGCATTAAGGTATTAAAACATGATCTCAATACTCTACCTAATAATATCATGTGTGTCTTCGCCAATGGATTAAAGTTGCTTTATTTTGTATTTGTTATATACACCTATAGGTGTACAAAAGGATTCTCCCAAAGATTGCTTTGAAATGTCTTTAATTTTTTGAAACCTCACATGTTGTCTTGAATATTCCTTTGTCAGATGCAGTACAAAAGAAAAATCATTTCCTTTTGATCTTGATCATTTTGAGAGATAAAATGGTCTTAAAAGACACAGGTGATGTATGATTCACGAAGATATAGTAGAGATTTTGTAGTTGAGTGGTCTAATCACTTGACCTGGAATACAAAGGTCACAAGTTTGATCCCCAGCATAGCACCTGTGTCCTTGAGCAAGGCACTTTATCTATGTTGCTCCTCTCCACCCAGGTGTTTAATAGGTACCCGTTAGGATACAAACGTTGGTGTGATTGAATTAGCATGTACTTGCTTGACAAAAGGGTGACTGACTGACTGGAATGCTCCCCAGGGAGTGGAAAGTGTGCACTGTAACTAAATTGCAGGATCGTAACAGAAACCAAGGACAGAGGCAAGCGCTTTGGACTGTTACGCTGTAACTCGTAAAGTGCTTTATAATAACAGTCATTACCGGTATTATTATTATCACAATATGGAATGTTGATTTTTCAGCCAGTTTCTCTGATCATGGAATTCCATTGCAAAATTTTTAAGGAATATGACATTAAATAAGGATGTAAAATTTCAATCACTGTTTTGAGGTGAATAAGATGAATTGTCACAAGAAGAGGAACTGAGTGGACATAATCGTTATTATTTAAAGAGGTAAGAATATATTTCCATTTCTTTTAAAGTTGTATTCATGCTTAATATTAGCATCATGCTGGAATTGCTCTGAAATTCGATTTTGTTAATGCAGTACTCATACGGTTGTTTGTACAACTGTTGCATAGCATAGATGTGCAAGATGCCCTTTAACTAATTTTTTTCATTACTTTGAAGGTAGATAGAAAATTGATTAAAGTTTGCTAGAAATTTTAAAGCAGAATTCATCATGAGTATAATGTAGGATTTCAAATGACTTTTAAGTGTAATTAAATTTTAATTTTAATTGTAATTGTAAAATGTTTACAGGCCGTTTTTTTAAAACCCGAATGACTTTGTTTTGACAAAAATAACTAAAAGGACAGCATCATGTTACATGTGTGTGAAATAAAAATTAAGACAAAAAAAGTTCTTGCCACAATTATCAATAGTGTTGTTTGTGTTTTTTAATTTTAGTTCTGTAAAAAATTCCATGTATTCTCTTATTTAAAAGTTAGTGATTAATTGCAAATCGTGTAAAATATTCTTTTTCATGTGTAGTTTACAATCATATATTTGGTTATTATTGCTTTCGTAACAGGGTTTAGAATTTTGAGTTTTTGACTTATGTCTAGAATTTTTGGAAGCCTGTAGTTATTGAATAGTAACAAGTTTTAATAATCCATATTACATTTTGATAAATAACCATTATTCTGGTTTGGGAGATAACAATTTTACTCAAACATATTTCATTCCCCCCTCCCCTCCCCTCCCCCATCAAAATAGTCATTTTCAAGAGAAAAACATAGTATACACTATAATCAGGTGGAATTGAATGAAGCTAAAAGTCTCAAGATCATTCTTGATGCAATACAAATCGTTGAAAAGTTGGCAATACCTAGGATTGTCAAATTTAAAATTCATGATACTCCAGTATGCATTATGATTTAATCAGTTGTTTGAGAGACAATTTTTGAACATGGATATAAGTAATGTTTGTGGGGACAAGCCTTTGGGGGCAAGCTAGGTTCTGATATGACAATTACATTTACAGATCTGCTCTGCTTACATGCAAGTAATATTTACATTGAAGTAAATATTCAAAATTAAAATGCAGTGCTATTGGAAAGGTGTAAGAGTTACCATAAATTTCATTTTTTATACAAAGATTATACATGTGTACATGTTTCATGTAACTTTAGACTGTAATTTATGATGCCATAATATATATTGTATTTCGTTTTGCAGACATTTCATTGATAAATTCTTCATTGTGGATAAGCAATTGTGAGCACACAATTCATTGATACGAATAGGTTCTATTCATTTAGCCAAAATTCGAAATTGAAGAAGAACCAATATTTCTTCTAGAAGAACACTGTAGTTCATTCAGTCTGTATTATTCAGGTGCATACAAACAGTATTGTAGAGCAGAAATTTCGTAAAACCCCAATTTCAGCACCTAAGATACCCCATTTTCTCTGTTGAATTGTCTGTCACAGAACTGTGTACATTAAAATTGAATATCTCCATCAAAATAATCAGTATGGACTCCTCACACAGGTTAGACTCAGACTACACTCTTTGCTGTATGTATTACTGGATAAAGTGAAATGATTTTTATTGTGCCACTCTTCTGAATTTAATGCTATGTTGCAGTCACACTCTCATGTAAAGCCTATTGTCGTAGCTGTAAGACTCGCATGATGCCATTTATTTGATAGAGGATGAGATGTGGCTATTCTGTCACATAATGCATTTCTGGTATGTTCTGCAAATGTGTGCAAAGTAGAATGTCAGGGCATAGAGTCAGCCTATCCACTGTATGTCACCTACATGTACGTCATGGCCAAATAATGTGTGACACTTAACTACAAAGCACTTCATGGCGTTACCTGAACCTGGACGTTACCTGTGAATTATGTGGCCTCACATGGCAGGTATGGCCTATTTCTACAAGGGTCTGAACCCTGTAGGGTTATACCTTGCTTGCTCCTGCCTACCAAATTCTTAACTTCAACCCTGGACCCAACACTGTTCCTAACCCTAACCCTAAGCATGGACCCAACCTAAAACACACTTGCAACCCCAACCCTCAATCTTTGATGACATAAATCCTGGAGCAATCGTCGCAGAAGCAAATCCCTGGGTCACCATTGGAAGTGCTTCATGGGTGGTAATCCTGCATATCTGGTGTTTTCGCACTGATTTTGTCGTCATTTCTGAGAAAGTGTGAAGGCACCATTAGGGCATCATATACATCAAACAAATGTAGTTAAATTGTTATAAGGTGACGTTGTGTGAGGTATGATAGAAAAGAAGATGACTGGCAAGTATGCATTACAAAATGAAGGGATAGTCATGAGTTTCAATTCTATATTTAATAGCAACACATGCAATCAGGAGGACATTTATATGAAGCAAAGTGCTACAGAAAGAAATAGTGTACAAATCATCTACAATATTGAATGTCATAGCATAACACATTGAATTTTATCATAAGAAGACCACTGTACACAATCAGATTTGGGAGAACAGTCGCAATCGTATGAGAATTGAAATGGTAAATTATGCATGCATGAATCTCTACATAGCCTTATGAGTAATGATACTAAACAATCCAAATAATGCATAATTGTCCACTGATTACGAATTATCTACATTTACATTTCATATCCAATTGTATTTCTACTTCTTTCAAAATCTTCTTGATTTGTAGGGAGGCCATAAGGTACATGTACATTGTGATATAAAGGTGGTTACACATGTGGTGTGATAGCATGGCATTGAGTATATACACATTGTCAATAAGATACATTTCGAATGCCCTGTCATTATATTGACAGAGAATGAATTACAGTGTATATGATCACTAACTAATTGATTGCTGATTGAACATGTTTTTATCACAATTGTGAATGTGAAAATCCAATGGAGGGCTGTTTACTGTACATGAAAAGTTGGAATTGCATGCTTAAGCCATGTTCATATATTATGTGACCAATCTGCAGCGTTTTTAAACAGTTATGACGTAAAGTTTGATACGCCTCACATTTTTGTATCTTATATCACACAGAGCTCATTGAATATGTATTTTTTTTCTTCAAACATTGGTTTACCAAGTTATATCTGTACGAACCTGTAAACACTGTTCATGATAAGTAAACAATGAGTCCATCCTTATTTTTGTTGTTATGAACAAAAGGTGGAAAGATAAAACGACATTGAATCACAAACTACCGGTATGCTCTTTTCGTCTTCCTCCTTTTAAAGTTACTTTCGAGATCGGCTTTATGTCTTGCGCGCCTACACTTTTCTCATGAACAACATTTGATAGCATACATCTTTGAGAAGTTGAGTATATAAACTTGTATAATGATTTCAAATATTTCTGATACAGGTGATACATATTAAAGGTATACAGAATTCTAGAATTCTAAATTGCAATTTAAATATTCCGATATGTGATTTTCCCTAAATATGAATTTGACTGACATTTTCAGTTAAGTGGTAAAGCCTAAAATACATGTATTGCAACTTGTAAGCTCATGTGCATTGTTTTATGAGAGAAAACAGTTTGAAGTTTCTTGTGGACCTGATGAAAAAATCTTTAGCATGGAATGAACAAAGTGAAATGTTATCAAGTTATTAATTATTTATTTATATTGTAGTTAAACGTCATTCACTTAAAGCCCCACTGTCCTACTTGTAGCTACTTGCTCCCTCTATATAGAAAACTTCCCCAATCGGTGCCTGTTGGTCCCCCATGATCCTCTTTTTCTTATGTTAGTTGAGAGCTGAGTTAATGAGATAGCCACCCGTCAGTGACCTCGATGTGTGGTCTAATCCCTTTTGGCCCAGTAGTATTGACGGTCTTTAAGTGTAAGAATTCAAAATACATATGTACTGTTGGGGTACGATGGTGTTGCGAGTGCTGCATACCAATTTGATTAGTACGATTTGACCCAAAGCTACAATCAGATTCTACAAATACATGTACTTTTTTTTCGTTAGTCAGTCAGTCAGTTTGTTTTTCATGAGAAAATCACTAGTTTACACAATGCTAGTTTGGTTGTCAGAGTAAATCATGGAAGCATGTCTATGTTCTGCAAAATATTCGCCAAGTGAACATTTATCAAATTATGTGTATAGATAATTATGTATGGTAATTTATGCCTTTTTTGTCTGTGTCATATGAGTGTAAACACTTAAAATACAATTCTTTATTATGGTTTTAAGATGTTTCAAATTGGGAAATAAAGAGAAAATAGACACAAACAAAATGTTTGAAGCTTTCTTTGTTGTATTTTCTAGAAATACTCATATTTTTAAGAGCAAGAAGCGTTTAAGAAAAAAAGAAAAAAAAAAAAATATGTCTTGTTTACCCAGGGTAGCCTCATCAAAAATGAAAACAAAGTACTACCCCTACTGCTAATAATATATACACACTTAAAATGCCGTATCGATAACATTTGCCAGCTAAAATTATACTATGAACCTATTTCTAACCAAATGATATACCCTCTCAAACACAGCATTACCTCTAACCATGGACCTATTACGAATGGACATTCATCGTTTTCTTAATGAATTCATTGTGATTGTCTCCGTCAATGTCGTCTCAATAACATTCCTTACATGTTTCAGTGATTTTAAACATGTTAATCTACATGCGCAGAAGATAATAACTCGCCTAAATCATGGAAAACAGATGCGCAGTTCTGGCTTATAATCGGAAATTGTTGTTCCGTGTACTGTACATGTATTTTATTTTGAAAAACATGTTGATATTACCAGATAGAGGTTATTTTTGGATATTTTGGTTGTGATTTAAAATCCCGTTCCCCCCTATTTCCTCATAATATTCCAGAGTTACAACGCACAGGGCTGATACAGATCATGGCCTTGTAATTGTTTTATAAGGTCATAGGTGTGTGCGAAAGTTTGCGAATCGGTAATAATACATTTCATATCACCAAAATCGTCTGCTTTTCAACTTTGCTGCTCCCCATTGGGGATGCTTTTATTTAAGACACACTCTTACAGAGCACACCATCCAAACAAAACCCAAGAGAGGGAAACTGCTCCTTTGTCAATGACCAAAATTCTTACGCAGTCGTTATTGTTAAAACAGCTGAATGTTCTCATTAAGATGCACATAATCAGAAGGCGGCGACTATCATTGGATCAGAGAAAGAATCACGTTGAATGTCCATCCGTAATAGGTCCATGCTCTAACTAAAGATAGACATACAGAAAGATAACATTGAAATGGCGATTGCGTCTTAAATTTTTACATGTACATTTGAATGGACAGAAAGGTAGATAGTTATAAAAAATTAGACACAATGCCCAGTGAGTTGTCCTCAGTTTCTTAACGGGGAATTGTCAATGGATAAAAACAGATATAGATAATGGTATTGCACGTCAGTTTGTTAAGATAAGAATACTTTAAAATGCCATCTATTTTAGTAAAAGTGATAATAGATACAGCACCAAAAGGAATATAAGTTTATTCCGTAACGACTCCAAAATTTCAACAAATTCATGGAAGGCTGAATTCTTATAAATACTGTACCGCCAAGGTTGATTAATTGACAATATTATTAGTCATTTATCATTCTACACAATTTACATTCCATTCATCAAATTACTGTCTTCAGCGAAGGGATACATTCATTACATAATGATTGTTTATGACACCTGAATGAAATGTCAGTACTGGTATTAATCATTTTTCATTTTCTCTTCTAAGGCACATTTTCGAAAAGTAGGCATAGCACCGAATCAATAATGCAAACAAATCCTAGCTTAACGTCATTGGAAGCACCTTGTCAGAAATGAATTTATTCATAGTTGCACCAGTAGCTTAAAGTTAAGTAATCATCAAATACAAATTAAAATTAAATGATGATGACATATATTAGGCGTACATGTCACTTTATATGGTGACTGTATACTGTAGTTGGATTTCATACTCGTTTTTCTTTAATCTCAAACAAGACTTGGTATTTTGGCAAGATATTTGGAAGATTAATATTACAGAAAAACGATTTCCATCTGTCTGGTAGTATATTATACTGATCGAATCCCTTTGCCTTTTATTTTCATTATACTTTATTTGCCGTTTAAGAATAAAGTAGCCTAGTATTTAACACAACAGCAACTGTAATTACCATCAACTTTTTATACAGTATGCATCATGCGATACAGAGAACGCGGGCATCAAATCGGGGCTGACAACCAATTAATACCTCAGTCACACCAACGTGACAGACACGAGACCGACTACAGACTGAACAAAATGGTACAGCACTCTAATGGACAGAAATTAGTGGATCTGGAGTCGGGTGTGGGTCGGTTTTGCTAAATGACCGAGGTACATTTCTGTGCAAAGCTATGATCTTGAAGCATAATTATAATTGTTTAATGTGTCTTTGAGCAAGTTGGCATAGGAACATAAAGGATATTGTTAATCATCCTAACTGAGTCAGTCGAGTCGGTGCTGTCCTGTGCATTTGTGCTAACTGGTACACCATATGCAAGGTGGTTGTCTCCAGAGTGTGGTTCCTGATTATCGTTCTCAAGGCAATGATAAACCGGGTCCAGTCTACCACCTTGAGGTCTTCTCAAGGGAGGTGATTCTTGGTTATCATGCTGAAGACGTCTTTTGGGTTGTTCATTATCCTCGAGAGTATGATATAAAGGGGTTTCAATATGCCCCTTCCGGTTGTTTGAAGTAGCGTGCTTCTTGGGTAAATCATGTATTACGTTTGAATCCGATGAACATGCTCCGAGAAGAATGTTGTTGTTTTCATTGTGCATGGCACATTTTCTCTGTCTCAAAGAAGCGATTGCGTGAATTGCATTTTTAGAACCTCGAGATGATTTTCTAGGGGGTAGAGTTGGACCTTCTTTGCAATTAGCGGAGGATGGTCTGTGAGGCAAAGGACGACTTGTCATGGAGAATCCTCTACAAAATCTGTCTTCAATCGTTGTCCTTGGCTGTTCCTGATCACCATATGTACCTTCGTAGGCATGATCAGCCATGTCCATAGTTGAAGGCTCTTGATAAGCTTCTTCAGGGTTTGTCGCAACAGAACTAGCTACCATCGGATATTCAGAGCTGGATGCATAGTGATATAGATTGACATCTTTAAGGGTCACATTGGACTGTCCTTCACCATCAGTAGTGCCTTCGTATGCGTGATTAGTAATGTCCATAGAAGACGGTTCTTGATATGCTTCTTGGAGCCTGACAGTATCACCTGACCTAGGGTTATCAAAGCTAGATGCGTAGTAACATGGATTTGTGACACTGGTTGAAGAAACGTAATGGTTATCGCTCCTGGGATTATTCCGATGAAGAAAACTGAACGGTCTATTTGACGTATCAGAAGGGCGTGAGAAAGGTGGGACACGTAGAATCTCTGTTGGTTGGGAATCTTCGGGTGTATTGTCGGGTAATGCAGATGCTATCACAGAAATTGGTGTAGAGGAGTCGTTTGTGTTGGGTCTGGGGGGACTGGTTGATCCACCGGGGAAACTTGCAGAGTTTGAAGGGAATCCTCTATCTCTATTGTTGGTTGGCGTTGAGAGTGAGTCGTCTGTCTGCCCTTGTCTTTGCCCGAATTCCCCTTTCCTATATGAAGAAGTAAAAGAAAATGTGAAAAACAACAGAACATAAAATGGTTGCATCGTAACTTTTCAAATGTCGTTGCATGAGGAATAATAAGGAGGTATAAATTCAGGTAATGAGTAAACGGGCAAAGTTTGACTGTCCATATTAAGTATATATATCTTTATATATATAAAATATACAAATATATGCGTGTATATATATCTATATATATACATGTATATTATATATATATATATATAAATATATATGTTTGTGTGTGTGTGTGTGTGTGTGTGTGTGTGTGTTTATTGAGATAGCAATTACTATAGGTCAGGCTTGGCACTATAGAATAATTGCTTCATTTTTATTTCCAACCTCAGTTGAGTTTAGAAGGAAAAGGAATAATGACCAAGTATGCAGCTAGAAATGCAAATAGAGCACATGCCAGTCATGGAGGCCTGAACTTCTATGCATACCTACAAACCTTTCACAGCAAAACTTAAGAATCTCTTAAGGCATAATTAGGAATCCATTCTATTTTATATACTTTTTCACATACAATGTTTCAGAAAAAAAGAGAGGAATCTAGGGTTCAAAACAATAGCTTGAAGGCAAGAAAAAGTAGGAATCATTCCTCCAAAATAGGAATGCTTGCCAACTATATATGCACAGGCAAAGAGGGTTGCGAGAGAAAGAAAACTAGAAAACAAAAAGGGGGGGGGGGGGGGGGTAAACAGAATAGTTATAGTAGAAGAGATTCTTCTTAAAGCGAATCTGTACTAGTTTACAGGAGGGATTATACCGCCCTGCAAGGTCACTGGACAGGTGGTTTTCTCATCAACTCAGCTCTCAGTTAACATAAGAAAAGAGGATCATGGGGGACCAATGATCACCGATTAGGCATTGTTTGTTATGTAGAGGGCGCAAGTAGCTACAAGTAGTGCAGTGGGCCTTTAATTCACAATAACATGTTAGTCATCTGGAAGGAACATTTTTTCAAATATTATTAAAAGTTTTAACTCCATTTCAGATAAAATGTTAGGTTATTGGCGTTTCAAAGTGAAGGATAATGTAATGTCTGATTTCATTGATTTGGGGACAATTATAGCCTCTACTGTGGTTAGCGTAATTAATTACTTATGCTAGTTTCTAGTTAACTAATCACTTTTAAATAGTCCTGTTGATTCGAATGAATATGTACCCTGGCCACACATTATAGTTCCTTCTCACTCCAGTCACAGCTGCTATTTATAAGGGATTTATAGTAAATGGTTTTGTGTGACTTGTCTATTATTTGCAATGGGTTTTAATAAAAATGAATGAATACAATGACACGGGATGGATTTCACATAAAGCACCCTCAACAAACCAGAAGAAAGAAGGGGGTAAATGGGACATTAGTGGCGGATCCAAGTATCTCCGTCAGGGGGCGGGCATATGGAAACGTTGTATCATCCGCTCAATCTGACTTGTGTGCATAGAACAAATAAGCATTTTTCCATGAAAAAGTGAAGTTTTCTAAAATGTGCGTTTCTTTCCAGCATTGGGGCGCCCGGAATTCACTCGGGTAACATTTCATAAATTATAATATAAAAAGACCATATGCAAATTTTCTGTACTTTTGTCGGAAAAAATACATTTATCCAGCACAATGTCGTGTCTTTTTGCGTTGGAGAAGAGCAAATAGCGAGTTTCAATCACACTTTGGCCGCTCTCGCAAGCTCTCACTGTGGTCAAGCGACTTTGGAGCAAGCGGTTAATAAAAATACTAATCGTTAGCTTTCTCCTGGTATTAAACTTGTTTTGATTGATTGTATAATTTTGTCGGAATAAAGGAAACAAAAAGGCTCGACCATTAACTTATCAGCGTCTGAATTGACCTTTAGACCTTGAATTCCCTGATGCAAGCGCACTAATGACGTCATCTTCGCTAAATCGGTGTCTTTTTATCGTAAAATGTGACCCTTTCACAATGTTTATACATCTTTTTAATTATTAGTAAGATATAACATATTTTTTTCTGATATCACTGAAGTTTTGGGTTTTATTTAATGAGTAATTTTAAAATAAGATCCATTTTACTGTTTTAATTTACTGGATCGTACCATTAAAGTCGCAGGGTAGAAAGATGCATTTTCCAACCGCGCCAAATTTAATTTACGTTCCGACATTCTGTTAAATGGGTTCGTGTTGTTAATAATCCAATGCTTTCTGCTCCACCAAACGTCCACATGCGGAGTCGTTTATCAACTAAATTATTCAAATTCATGGATGCTTCCTAGCTTCCAAGGTGTTTGTGTTGTTGAAGCATTTCATTCACCTGCTATCATTCTTACTCCAATTGCCAGAACGCAAATTTTATTTTATTTTTATAGTTTCATCGGAGTCGTTTATCAACTATATGTATTCAAATTTATGAATGCTTCCTCCCTAGGTGTTTGTGGTGTTTATGCATTTCATTCACCTGTTATTATTATTTGTACTCCAATTGTTAGAATACAAAATGCATTTTAGTTTTATAGTTTCATGTAGTGAGTAAGTCAATAAAAGAGTATGTTCTGCAACGTGTGTCCCTATTGTACAATGTAATGTGTCCCCTCATTTTGTAATAGTTAATTTACCCATTCACATAATGGAACTACCTGCCCGATGAAGCCAGTGGCCTGTGACCCCTGAGCACTCAACACCGTGTGGGAGTCAGTTTGTGGTCAACTTCTTTTATGAGACACATACAAGCAAACGTTTCCATATGTGGGGGGGGGGGGGGGGGGGCATAAATTCGACAATTCTATGATAAGCAAAGGGGAAAAAAATGGTCATCAGTTATTTCGTGTGCCGTTTCGGTTACAAATCTTTCTGACACCCCTCCCGCCCCAAAAGTCATCCTTTTATTTTCTTTTTCTTTCATCCTTCCCTTTTCTGTTGGGGGCGGCATCAGCTCCACCGGGTGCCCCTGGATCCGCCACCGTACAATTAATTGAATGAAACAAGTATAGCCTGGACAAGCATTGGTTGTATGTTAGATCGTGGACCTACTAAGTATGGTGAGATCAACACATTTTACAGTTAGATGACAAGGCATATCACCAAAAAAATTCTCAAGGCGAGCACATAGAACAAGCTATATCAAGCACAGTATCATAAGCAGGAAGGATGCACTGCAGGCAACGGGTTTTGTGGAAACTTTTACATACCTTTTCATTTGTGGAAACGGCTGTCACAAATTCAACAATGAAAAATAGAATCATGTAGCAATGAGGGAATGATCTTAAGTGTTATGATATGTAATAGATATACATGTACCAGTGAAAAACTAATTTGCAGTGGAAACAAATATCGGAATGTCCGCATCGGACTAAAAATGCATTAAGTTAATTTCAATTTCAAATCTGTATAAAATAACATAATTTTAAAAAACATTGTAAAGCTTTAGTATTGGCGATGTATTGAAGTGATATCTTGACAATTGTTTGTAATACTTTGAAATTTACAACCAAGATACAGAACGTATACTAAGACGAAAAACCATTTAGCTATCTAATGAAAAGGAAGAAAGAAAAATAAAGAAATTTGTATTATTGATGGACAGGTACGAAATCATTTTGAAGTAGAAATAAATGAAACCATGCTTCAGCGTTGAAACCACGCCCCAGCTTGAAAACTAATACCACATGCAGTTTCAATATTCTTTAGCCAGAAAATAGTGGATCGAAAAGGTTTAATTTTCCAATCATGAGGGTCTGTAGATAAAACGCCTGAAAACCAAATACATTCATAATGATAATAGTAATTCAATCTGGCTTTATATATCGTTTTATACGGAATACCGTCTCTAAGCGCTTTACAAATGTTATTACCCCTGTCATGATATTTATTTACGTACACAGTGTACATAAGACCACTACCTGGTTTCTTTACCTATATGTGTTCCCTACGAGGGCATAAATTATTGCAATTACTTAAATTGTCATCCTACCAGGTCCCCACTTCTCACCTTAATATATTATATAGAGAGGCAAATGTAGATTGATAATTTGAGGGAAAACAAGTTTTGAGGTTGCATGGACTTAAACGATTTGTGAATCGTAATTTTTGAGTCGTAAATTCTTAGACTTTTCTATACCATAGTTTTGTTGTAAGATATAGAGATATCAAGATGACATGGGCTTTGGCTAAATTAAGCCTCATACATTTATTGGTGCGTTTTGAGAGGATTCTTAAAGTGATATGCCAAAATTTGTAACCTGATTTTTTGTTGTGGATGAGACCTTTCAGAAGCTCTGAAATTGTCGATCTTTGCCCACTGTAGTAGGAAGATATTGATAATAATGGCATAATACTTCAAAGATTAAAAAAGAAGATTTTTTTTTTCAATAAATATCCCAAAGTCACAAAATAAAATAAAATATCCTCCAATGTTGAAAGGCATAATGTGAATCTACATGAAAATAGGATATGTGTTTTGATCTTGGTTTGGAACATTGATATAAAAAATAAACAATGATGCAGAAAGCTCCAAAAATATTATATGACATAAACTTTCTAACAAGACAGAATTCCCTCCCCGACAAGAAGCTTATTCACACAGTTTGACTTTTTTACAAATTTAATGTGCACAAATTCCCCCAACTTGCAACTTTCATCGATTTGTCTACTAAAGAAACAGTGACGATGACGATATACAGTAGGTCTAAATACGAGATTAAAACATGTAGAACCAAAAGCCATGCATTTTCTACACTATTGAATGATATCCGTATGTAAATGTGACTAAGAGTAGATGCAATAACTTAATTTGTCTTCTTACCACGATTCTTATTATTACATCCTGTGAAAGTACTGGTGCGATAAATTGTATTATAGACAAAAACAAATAAAACATTTTTAATTGAGATAGTTAAGAAAGAGAAAGAGGAAGAGAAAGTGAGTGAGTGAGAGAGAGAGAGAAATAGAGAAGGAAAACAAAAATACGCATATTCATTATAGTATTCAGTATAGTAGTAGTAGTAGTACTACTACTA